CCCAATGTTTTGATATTACTGGTTTGATTGAGGACTTTTTGCCGATTGGGATTCAACATTCGTTTTATGAGCTCCACGGGGAGAACTGAACAGCCATTCAATGAAACTTATTAGAATGCTACTGCTACTGTACTTACGTAAAGAACATAGCTCGTTCAAACGTTTTTTGTAGGCAGGGGTGAGTCTGAGCATTATAATGCATGATATCAGGGGAACTATACTGAAAAGTATCGTAGCTATCATAGGCAAGACTGAAATCAGTGCTGAATCATCGAAGAGAAAGCATGCAAACTCGTTGAAGAGATAGAGCATACGACACAGAATAGAAGCGCTGCAGGAGGAAAGCTGATGCCAGATAATTGAAAGAAATTCTGAAGTAACATTTATAACTTGTTTTACATACAAGGCCGCACCAGTTTCACAATATCAACCGTGATTTTGCGTTGGCTTTCCGCAGCTTTGGCAGATTCAGTTGGAACACAACGACGCTTCAAACTCCAGATGAGATATGATGTAGTTGAAATACAAATAGCCAGAAACATGAATAGGGAGAGAAAAAATATCCAAGTAACTAAATAATTATCTGTGTCTATATTCACCACCATAGTATCAGCCATGAATATCTCCGATGGGGGATTGTTGTTGAACTTCTTGAAATAAAGATATATTATATAAGGTTTTCAACAGTGACAAGTAGGAAACCGACCTCCGAGCACAATAACCGATTTTCATCTTTCGTGATCATTAAGGTACTCAAGTGAATACGAATTGCAACAGAGAAATGAAAGATTGAACAGAACAGGAAGCCAACGATGATTCGTTTCTTCAGTTGTTCTGTCAGATTGACTGAAACGGCAATGGCTCTGAGAAGACATATGAATGTGATGAACCAAATCGCCACTGCTAAACTTGATCAGAACGAATCAAACAAAACAACGTTTACCACAAGTCAGCCATATTTGAATAAACAGTTGCAAATGGACACTTAATCCGAGATAAAGTAAGATGCCGTTAGGATAGAGAGCGAAGCAGGGCAAGAAAAAAGTAGGAGTTAAACCAATAGTGAAAAATATTTGAGCGAAACATACCCTGAAATATTTCCATATGAGATATACTGGCTGTCGCCAAATGCCTATATCCTACATGATTCCATTCCCGATGAGGGCAGAGCGAAACATAGCACTCAGCTTGGTAGGGACGAACACCGTCATATATATCAAAAGCGTAAATGTACAAACACCCAAAATGGACAAGCAATACAGCGAAATAACGTAAAGATCCATCTTTCGGTAATTACACCGGGGAAGACAATATGTTGCCTGACTGATTTGTGATTCTCTCGGCAGTTCGTACGTTCATACAACATTCGTATTGTTACAATTCAGCTAGATAAAGGAGGCTACATCATCATGGTTACGAATATTGCAGGAAAACCATGCATGATGGTAAGATACTTACAATCATGCTTGGGACACTACTCACCCAGCACATAATCACTATGATAAGAACAGAATATTCAATTCGAGCAAGGGATATTAGAAGATGGAGATATGTGGGACATTGAAGGAGGATTGAAACTTTGAGATTTGCATTAGAGCGTGTNATTGACAACTATAATTGTGGTTGTCTCGCTGTTAGTTTTGCAAAATCTATATTTGTAACCGTAACTCCTAGGTTAGAACCGACTCGTATCACTTCATGCTCATCACAATTCTCTATTTATAAGTTCCTTCAATCAACCAATCAGAATAGATCCTCTCTCCATCACTTTATTGACTAAAGTGCAGTACTTCATTGAATTCTTCAAAGTGTCCTGCAAGAAGACTGTAAGAAATTCAGAAAGCTGTCATTCATACTTGTATAAACTCCGCAACGAAATGAACTTTGGTATAGTTACGGAAGTTGATATATCTTAAATACTCTGTCACAAAGTCAAAGCAATTCCATTCAATGTCATTGTACATCTGAGGATAATTTGAGTACCGAAAAGAGATGAAAGATTACTTGAGCTAGAAACTTTGGGCAGTGCTCGTTTATAAAGTTATAGAGCGAGCTGTCGAACCAGTTATTCTCATTGTTGGCAAACTAAAAAACCATCTCACAAAAAGTAACGAATCCTTGTAACCTGGTAAACTAAGATACTCTTGTCCCAAGAAGAAGCAGCAGCAGTGATACCGTTGGTCCAGAACGAATGAATAACAGAATGGGAATCTGATATTCCTATGTGCAAATCATCACCAATTTTGTATCTTGAGAATCTTTTTGTTATGATCATTTTCTGAGAAACTTACGATTGAAAGTACCCGTTAGTAGGCTTTATAACTATCGCGCATCTCGCGTTGACTTGTTCTACAAAAGGACAAGGTAAAGGAGAATTTGTCCAATTGAAAGGCTAAAAGCCTTGTAGTATTAAATGGTTATCATCATGTTCTTACATCAATCTGTTTCTGGCAATCAGGACATTTCAAATCTTCTGATGCTGGTGACATAACCAACATTCTTGTGGAGCAACCAACATGTTGAACGTACGTCAAGTACATAAACTAAAAAAAATAAGAAAAAGCGAACAAAAGTAAAACGAGTAAGTAGTGATTCGGCTGATTAACTGATCGAAAACAGAACGATGGTTTTCAAATAATGTTATTCACATTGATTCTCGATATAGATATGTTCTCATAGGAGGCTTTAAAAACTTCACAAAATAAAATATAAATATTCTCTTACAACTATCTGAATCTATGAGTCACGGTTGCTTTGCATTCTGAAAACGAAGTAGAAGAAGGCTATATTGCCTAAAAAGCTGGAGAAAACTAATGTTCCTATTATTATTTTAGTCATGATACTAAGTGTTGAAGTTTGTTGTTGACTGACTGATGTGAACAACTGTAAAGAATTATGATCTTTGAATATAGCGAATAGCTTACAGAAGGCTCCGGCAATACAGGCGAATCATTCATTCTTCTCATAGTACGTTTACTAACTGATGAAAAAGCAGAGACTGATGCACTGTCCTTAGAAGCTCCGACAGGGCTCACATTCTTATACCGATCACCAATTACCTAAGCGAGAAGTGAGCTGCAGGTTGATTAGTTAGAACTTACAATGTCACTAGTGAAAGAAGGAAAGGTATGATGGTTCGAAGGAGTTCGAGAGATCATGCTTGAAGCATACCGATTTCTAAACATTTCTACAATTCAGGAGTCGTATCTTCACAAACTTTAAGCGCTCTCCATTTACAATTGACAAAGAAGATAGAGATGGAGCAAGCTCTCTCGAAGGTGTAGCTTCACGCATTTTGTTGAAGAACTTGGAACTCATCGGTCGATTGACGCGCGAACAGCTATTGTTAGTGGTGTTAGCTGTACTCGTTTCCCATTCCATTTCCTGCAGATAATTTCAATGAATTTTTTTTGAATATGAAAAATTTCGAACCTCTGCGCTCATATTTAAAGTAAGGTTCAAACCTCTAGGCTCGGGAGTTTGGGCCCGTTCTCTCCACTTCATATGATTTCTTACTAACGGTGGGGTATTCGAACGTTCCTGAAGAAAATGTTTACAACAACAACGTAAAATAGGTTCCTAACCTCATCACTTTCCAGCATAGAATCATTGGAAGTTGAACACTGAGAAGCTGGAGTGGAAGCCACGGAGAACGCACTGTAGTTTTCAAATGAAAAATCAACGGACGTGAACTGGAACTTGAACAGACCTCAATAATATTCTGTTCGGGCGTTTCTTGTGCAGTTTTTTTCTCGGCACAAAGGTGATGGCGGCCGAGATTATAATCATAAAAGAAGTAAGGGCACATCTGAACAAAATGAGATCTTCATGGTATTCCTGAACATTTCAATCATAGAGGCCAGAAATATCCGATTACTTTTTCTGGTACAAAATAAGTCAGTAACATAGTGATAGTGGAAATGGGGAAGATGAGATCCGGAAGTGTAGTGCGATTCCTCAAACAGTTAGTATATTCACTAGAATCTTTAGTAGTAACTTACTTGTTGCACATCAAGGCTAAGGAATGGGAGAAGAGAGAAAATAATAACATATGCCTACCAAAGTGAATCAAATAAGGAAGAAAGCTCTGTGTGAAAGCTGGAAATGTTACAAACTCCACACCAGCATCCTAGATCATCGAATATTATAAGACAGAGATGAAACGACAAACCTCCTGCAGATAATGCAAATTCGCAATGAATAGTGCCGCGGTAGAGATCAGTGACATGAAATGAGAGACTTCTGTGACTTTACCTCCAGAAAAAAATGATCTACGATGACGATGAGCCACCTTAACACAAGAATCCCGAGACAACAGAAGCATTAGACTCACTCTCGAAGCTAGTTTGACAACATTCCTACATGCTGAACGAACACCGGGAATGATTGTTTCACGCAAGTTCAGTAAGTAACTGAATTGTCTCTAAACGACAGAGAAAGAAGTTAGGATATGACATGGCTGAATAATACCAACCTTATCATCTTCCAATTTTCTGTGTGTGAAGATGCTGCATGAAGAGCATAAAGCGTACACTTTATCTAGCTTGTATTTGAATTCTTCTAGTTCCTCCTCCCATCGATCCTCAATTAAACATTATAGGAAGTTCTTTCGATTAATTTTAGAACTTCGTTCAATGGCTCGAAATCGGCTATTTGTTTCATAATCGTCGTTTGTTTAATATTGCATGCTTCACATAAGCCATTGCCTTTAGGCATACCATTCTGTGGCATACAATACCTGAATAGAAGTTGAGAAAAAAAACAGAAACGAAGATATTACCTGCCATTGGTTGGTATAGAACCAATAGTTTGCTGACCGGGGATCCTCTTATTATAATCACCTGCATCAGTGAATCCGTTATATTGTCCGCAATGTACACATTCGAAAGAATTTTTATTCGGATAAGGCACTTTACTGTTCTGATTACAAAACCAACAGTTCACTTTGGTATTGGTGTGACGCCTAAAAGAACTTTCCTACAGTGGTGAACGCATATGGGGATGGCATGGTTGCATTTTGTATTATAGAAGAATATGTTAAGCTCAGAAATGAATCGGATTCATTTTATAGAACATAGAATATCAATGGAGAGTCGATGACCACGTTATCATGCCAAATGAACAGGAAATTCATTCGCAATTGGAAGAAACGTAAAAGGAAATGAACAAACCTCACGAAACCAGCTCCAGCTATACCTACAGCTGTGGTAGCTATGGCGGCTATAGTTAGCTCCATTGGCGGATCAGCGTGATGAAAGGAACTAAGAAATTATATTTGAAATCTGGAAATAATAACAAAAGTGAAGCAATGAAAGGAAATATTCAAAATTTAAAAACGGGCTACCGTACTGAGAAAAGGCGCATAGTACGTAATGCTCGGATGAGAAAATAACAGCATAGTCTAATGAAGTTTGTGATAGTTGGAGGAGGAATTGCTGGAGTTTCATGTGCTTCGCGACTACAACAGTTCGAGGATCCGGAAGATGACATCGTTTTGATTTCAGGAAGCGGTTATGTGAAATGTATTTCAAAATTAGAAAAAGTTAGTTTGAAATTGAGAATTTCATTTCAAAGGCTGTTCAGGTTGGACAGTTCACAGAGTTTTTGGAAGTAGAAACAGTAAACAATATTGCACAAGACAAACGTATTCGATTAATATTCGCAAAAGTTGTAGAGTTTTCCCCACAGGAGAAGGTTTTTCATTATTCAGTTCTGATTGAATTTGTGAACGTTAGAAGTTATTGCTTAACAATGGAGAGATTGTGTTCTATGATAAGCTATGCATAGCTACTGGTGCTACTCCAAAAGTTACTTGTTCCTCCAGAAAACACCATGTTCTGAGGTAAGAACACAATGAGGAACTTGCAATATGTGTTGATGTTAGAGACACGGACACTGTCAAAGACTTTTCTAAAAGTCTTCAAGCTTGCAAAAGTATTGCTATTGTTGGAAACGGAGGGATTGCAACAGATTTAATGTACTGAATCCAATGTAGTGATAAAATCAAACTTGCTTCAGTTACGAAATTGGATGTTGTCATTTGGATTGGATAATCAAAGACAAAAGCATATCCTCCACTTGGTTCATACCCGAGGTAGAACAGTTTTTAGAGAGCAGGCTGAAGGCTGGACGAACAGGTGACTTAGTGACTGAATGGCTAGTGGAACAAAATGTTTCAGATAATAAAAAGATAGCTGAAAGTATAGTAGGAACCACAAGTTTCAGCTCCAGCACTGCCGATAACGGCGTACATGGATGTGCTCCCGGTCCAGATTGGAAAGAAACTGTTTCATTCCTTGGTTCATCTGATGTGACTTGATTCAAAAATGCATTCGAAACGGAAAAATTTAGGCGAGAGATGTTCGCATATACAGAAATTGCGTCATCACGGACATCAGAAACGAGCAGGAGCAAGTGGAGCTTATTACTTCGAACAATGATCACATAAACGCTGATATAGTATTGTGGGCGACTGGAGTGGAACCTGATTCTCAAATTTGGAGCAAATGTGGCTCATTGAAAATTGCAGATGATGGCGGTATATTAGTTGATAACGCAATGAAAACATCAATAGATGATGTGTATGCTTGTGGTGATGTGTGTACACCATCTTGGATCGGTCAATCAGAGAATTGGAAACAGGTTAATCATTCCTCGGTCTTATGAATTTGATCAAACAATTAAGATGAGAACTTGGACACAAGCTCGTCAAATGGGAGATTATTGCGCTCGCTCCATGAGTTCGAAAGTTCCAGGTTTAGATTTAGACTTCTGTTTCGAAGTTTTCGCTCATGCGACATATCTCTTCGGGTATAGGTGTATCTTCCTAGGAGATTTTAAAGGTGAAAGACACGAAAACTGGTATATAAGAGAGAGGTCGGATATACAAAGGTACAATCACCTAAATCTCTATTTTCAGAATAATAGAAGAAGACAGTTATGTTTGCTGCATAATGAAAGATCACCGAGTAGTTGGGGCTACATTGATTGGTAAAGAACTTTCCATATCAAACGTATAAATGATATTAAGGAGAAACAGAGCTCGAGGAAACTCTTGAGAACCTCATATTAAATAGGACAAGTTTAGAACTTATCGAAGAGAATTTTCTGGATCCGAATATAGATATACAAGATTTCTTTGATTGAACATTTCTCGCAATGAAACATTGAACTCAGTGAACTCTTAATACGACTTTATTGTTTCAAGTACAAGGAAACTAAATGAAATCAGTTAGATGATGATCATCGAAATAAATAACGAAGAACGCAACAAACGGTTAATTATTCACAACAATTAAGATTAACTACGGACATGATCATGTCATAAGAATTACTCTTCGTCGGCCGAAGGTTCAGCAAGGAAAATGCTGTGATTATCAGCAATGGAGACACTTATGATTTTGTAGTCATTCAAATGTGCAGAAGTTATCTTTTGAGGTTTTTCGACAACTTTATCGTCTTCATCCTCTTTGATGCCCAAGCCAAGTTGTCCGCTCGTGTCGCATCCCCACGAGTAAGCATCTCCTGGAGTAATTAGTTAATTTGGACAAATAAATGTACTAGTCACCAGCAGAAGTCCAGCAGACGGAGCATCCCAGCTTTGCGGATATTCCACTTACGGTGTTTCCATCAACATCTATTTTTTGCAGAGTATCATATCTAGGAACGAGATGAATGCCAACAGAAGTAAATCTAACCTCCAGTTCTCCTGATCATCATTTCCTTTCCATGTTCCTAATCCCAAAGCATTGTCTGTGTTCTTGCCTATTCCATACATCTCTCCTTCAGCAAAAATTGAGTATCAATACAAATGAAGAAACTACCATTCTCGTCACGGGCAATAATATGTTGAACTCCCTGAATATTGGTCCAGTTATGTCCACTGAATGCTTTAGAAAGAGTTGGGTGGAAAACACGGAGCTCTCTGTTGTCTTCCTCTACAATATGCTTTCATAACTAGGTGACAACATCATTAACGAACTCTGGTTATCTTCCTCAGATTCAGCCTTCTCTTCTTCGATTGGTATTCCAAGTTGTCCATAGTTATTAAGCCCACAAACATACAGGTCATTTTCAACACTTAGTATAGCAGTCCAGTATCCATCAGCGAAAATATTCTAAAATTTACTATTTACGCGTACAACGAAATTCAGGTTCTTACTTTAGCTTTAACAAACTTCTTTCCACCCATGAAAGAGGGAACATGTAAGCTATGAGCATCTTTTGCAGCCATATACTCTATAAATCAGAGAGCTCATTAGATAAGCTATAATAGATCATACGTGATCGAATTCTATCAGTACGGATGGATCGTCCCAACTGACCCATTGAACCATCACCAAAAGTATAAACTTTTAGATCCTGAGATAACATTACCAAGTGATTTTCGCCAGCCGCAATCTGATGTATCATCTTATTATGAAAGTGAATTCATTCGTACCTTCACGATCTCAATTTCTTTAGTGTGTTTGAGAAGTACAATCGGTGCTTTCTGCATTTGAGTGAGTTGATCATGAACATCAAGCTTTCCATTGGCATCCTTAACAAGAATGCGATGAAAAGGGAACAGATACTTGATGGACTCACTCGTAAATTTCCCCAAGCAAAAACTGAACCTTTAGCAGTTAGGGCAGCAGTGAAACTAGCTCCACATGCTAACATTACAATCTACGAGTATGATCATTAGAATCAATCGGTAGATCAGTCTAACCTTTCCAAGAGCTTGGAAACTTTCAGGGAACTCAATTTTTTTATACTCATCAGTGCTTCCCTCTGGCTCAACACCTAAAAAAGGCCGTTAGATCGCTCTGGCAGAGAGCAATCATACCTACACCAGGTACGGTTCCTTTCTCATTTATTCCACAGGAATATACGACTCCATCGGAGGTTAGGAAAACAGAATGTACACCACCAGCAACAGCCTGAGTTGTTATGATAACCGAGAAAATAGAATTTTGAATACCTGTACAACTTCCAAGTTTTCATCCTCAACGATATCAACCTTTCTAGGTTTCTTAGACGTTGTCCTTCCAGGGTGACCTAATTGATCTCCTTCTCCACAAGAAAGGATTCTTTTTCCGTGAGTTTTTAAAACAAAGTCGTTGTATGATAAATGAACTCGGGCTTCAAATGAAAGATGTTTAGCCTAGGATGACGAAAGTGAGCATCAAACCCGTGGTTGTTCTTGGTGCTCTCTTTGCAGTTGTTGGCTCTGTAGATGGTTGGGCACGTTTACGTCCACGTCCAGCTTTGGTCTAAAAATAAATGAAAGGTGACACTAACTAGCGAGCGTAACTCACAGTATTGGCAGAAGTAGTAGAAGTATCCATTATTAAGAACAAGTATAATATTATAAGTACTATTTCAGTTAAACAAAACTATGAAGAGCAACTACGAAGAATTTATCTGAAAATTTGAATAAAATATGAGAGAGAATCGACAAGATAGAGCAGAAAAGTAAAACTTTTTGATCAGAAAAAACCTTTTTTTTAATATCCGGAAATAAAAATTCAAATTCGTAAGTACGCAATTGCGTAATGAGAAATATGGGAGCACACAGTAATCCCATAATCTCAACCTGAGAAGTACTATATTTCAAGGAGAACTAGTGGCAAGTGGACTATGAAGGACTTTTTGAGAAGATTTCTTTATCTTTTAATGATATTGATAACAATCAAAGAAGCATACGAACCAGTTTTAAATTTATTACGCTATATGCTTTTGAACTTTGTTTAAAATATATTTGGATAAACTTCAGCAATTTCTTCTTTTCTCCAGTATGATGATTGCGTCCCTTTTCTTTGCACTGATAGAGATGCAATCAAGGCAGCCTTTCCTGCTGCTTCCCAAACCGTAGAACCTTTAGCTAAAAAGGCTGCGAACGAACCACAAAAGCAGTCACCAGCACCCTTATAAATCATATTAAAAGAAGCTGAAGCTTCAACATACTGTTGTGTCAACTGCGTTTGTCGGAGCCACCGCAACTACATCCTCTTTTTCTTCCGAAAGGACTACGACACCTTAATATGAGAATTATTTTTTCTTCATTTTATAAAGTTTGCCTTGAGGTCCCAGGGTGATAATTACATGCCTTGGTCCCATTTGTTGCATTTTTCTCGCAGCCTTCTTAGCGTTATCAATAGTATCAGCTGAGATTCCAGTAAGAAACTCTGCCTAGAACAGTTTTATATGACTGCGTAGGAGTTGGATAAAACTAACTTCGTTTTCATTTGTGCATACTATATCAACAAGCTCCAGAATACTCTTGTCCAGATTTCTGTCACCAGGAGCCGGATTGAAGAAAGTTCGCACTAATATTAGATTGTTAATTTGTCAGCTAGCCAACACAACCTCCTTTTGATCTCGCTATCTCGAAGATTCTTCTATTCGCTGCTTGGCTGATCTCAGCTTGACATAGTACAATGGATGCACCATTGAGTTCGTCAGCAACCTTGTTGGCATAATCTGCGTCCATGTACAAGTTGGCTCCCAGTACCACAACAATCGAGTTCTCGCCTAAGATAGAAATTCGTTAAAGTCCTTAATAGCTCACTACCTTGATTGTTCACGGTGATAGTTGCTGTAGCTGTATTGGCTTCCTCTATTTGTTGAATATGAGATACATTAACGCCAGCGTCTCGCAGTCCTTTTATGTTAGAATCGCCAAAAATATCCTTCCCGACCTGCAAGTGCGTTCTAAATTAGGACCCAACCAAGATTACCTTGGCTATCATGACAACATTCTCATGGAGTTTCGCAGCTGCTACTGACTGATTGGCACCCTTGCCACCACCGCCTGCCAAAAAATGAGAGCCTCTAACACTCTCACCTGGCCGTGGAAAGTCTTCAGTATAGCTGAAAAATGACCATTAAACAGATTATTATCAAGATAACCTGATAAGATCCTGTACAATGCTTCCGAAAATCACAATTTTCTCCGATGACATGGTGTTGTGCGTAGAAACAGCAGAACGAAATTACTCGAGACAGTTTAACAGATCGTGGCAGAATTTGGTATCTTCATTTAAATCGATGACCTATGATAACAGAAGAGTGATAAGGAACATGATATTAATAAGTAGAAGGAAAACATTGGAAAATAGAATCTGATAACACAAAAAACGAATGAGATTTATCACTTTATTGATACACGAATACGGACATCACATTATGAATTGGCACGATACAAGTTATTAGTTAATATGGTATATGAGTTTGTAAGAAATGAATTATTATGCGAATATAACAATCTAAGAACGTTGAAGTTCGTGAATAGGAACCAGCTGAGAATATGATATTTCAAATCGAAAGTGAAACGTATAGAACCGTTTTGAAATTGCGTGAAACGACAATAAGATTCGAACAGTCAACAAGATATAACTCTTACACTACCACAAAATAACTTAATTTAATATAACATTTCCCATTGGAAACAATAACTTTAATGTTCATAACGAACTCCTTATTAGGAATATTTCTTTTAGCACCTCACACATCTATTCTGTTACTAGCTTGAGCGCCTTGAACGTTGTCGTTTATGGGGTTTGTAAACGACTCGAACCTGAAATAGGAACATATGGAAACTTCAGAGAACCAAAAAAACAGAATTAGACAGCGGTATGAGGCTATAGCAAATTCATAATTAAAGAAAGTGCAAAGCAGAACAATCAAACCAGAAAAAAAAAGAAACAAAAAACTAGCCTGGTTCCATACCACATTTCATGAAAACGATCGCGCATTCGATCTATCACTCGCAGTGCTCTCACACTACGGGAGTCGCTGCCAGCCCCTGAACATTACGAGAAATGAGATTCGAAATAATTTTCTCCATCTGAACGTGCTCTTATGTGCGGAAAGGACATTACTCACAAGTTCAGTGGGATAACATGTTATGTGCGTTCTTTCAAGATGTACAGTAGTAATTTTCACTTTAGAGGAAACCCTATCACCCCCCTTCAAACCTGACAATACCGATACATGCATCAGTTGAAACAGAAATCATTAAGCTTAGCTGCGTCGTGCACTGTTAGAAAAGCGTTAGTAATGAGCAAGACACATACCTACCAAGGTTGAGTAGATTGTCAGGTGCAAAAGAAGCCTGAACTGTAGGCGAACTCAATTCAACAGGAGGAGCTGAATCTACGAATTCTTTTAGAATAGATCGTTCAATCGCGAAATTTTCAGTATATCTTTCCTGCAACGCAGAACTTGTCAGAGGAGCTGCTTATCGCAACTTACTTTAACAACTTCATAAGCATCCATGATGATTGCTATGAAAAGTGAAAGAACAACATAAATAAACAGAGACACGAAGCAGTAAATATAAACTGTTCCAAAAATCTGTAAGGGATTATCTCATAGCCGAAATAGAATTCTGTAAACCTTTATAACCGTGTTCGAGTCGTTAATCGTGTAGAACGTAGCGAACATATCATCACCGTTGAGTAAAGAGAATAGCGCTTCTGATGACTCCCCGAGAGTACGGAACTGTAAAACTCCAAGTGTTATATTGATAACTCATACTGAAAGTAACCTTCATGCTGTAGGGCCCTATGATTACCCATCCGGCTATCAAAAATCCAATATAGAGAACGATAGCACAAGTCATGAAACGTAACATGTTAGGTAATGATTTCTTCATGGTAAGTATGAGGATCTTGAACAGAGAACGATTAGAGACATAATGGCCTCGATACATACATTATACTGACTGAAGAATCCGAAGTATCTTAAAACACCAACATATACAAGCAGAGCTCCCATTCCCAGAAATATTCCCGTTAGTGTGAATAGAGAATTATCGAAATCCTGAAAAAAAAACTTTTTTTCGTATATCCTCATCGTGCCTACTTTGAACTCGATTGTTATCTTACTAACGGTTCCAATGATGATGAGAGCGTCATTTATTACAATCATCACGTACCTAAAATACTTCGGTTAATCAGCTAAGGTACTTCTCACATACCAGAGATTCAAAAAATCTAACTGATCCGTAATCGGTAGCTTTCTTTGAACATAGTTTTCAAAGAAATCGATAGCTTTCTGAAATGAATGATAGCTCATTGTATTGAAGCTTTCAGAACTTACAATTTTAAGTAAATGAGCCTTTATTAAGGCTCTCACGCATAATACAAGAGATAAGATGCAGAAAAGCAGAACCAGTACATCAATGATACCCATTATCAAAGTATCCGTTCCCCAGCCCATGCCTTCAAAACCAATTCATTTGAACTAACTTGACAATATCACTCACCTTTGATGATTCGTCCATTACAAACATTCACATAAGAAATAACTGTAGCAAGAGTAACATGCACTTGTCCCGTGTGACGGGAATTGTCGAATGTTATAGAAATCTGAACATAGACAGAATTACTCCGAACATCCACTTATTTAACTTACGTCAATTTTGTAACATTCTGGTCGTTGATCACCGTGTTGGGGACTGAAGTGAATCGTCCGCAATTTGAAGTTGAAGACTACTTTGGATATTATCAGAGCGTCTTCGGCAGTGAATGTTAATCCTTAAACAAAAACTTAAACGGTATATCTACTAGTGACGGAACCTTTGGCTTTCAAAGCTACCATTACATTGGCTGGATTATCTTCAATACTTTTCACCTCAGCTTCAGTGAAGTTCAACCGCATACAAACTGCAATCAAATAAAAATGATCTTGCCCTATTCAAATTCACATACACGTCATATCTCTCACGTCAAAATCATACGTATTGTTGTTTACTGTCACGTTTGTAATCCTATCGACACAAGCCTGTAAAAAAAGGTCCAAAGTTTCAAAAAAACATGATTATCACATTAATTGGTGGAATTAGTTTAAAGTTCATTCCAGCGGTTAAAGAAGCATTGTTGGACGCTAAGAATGGGTCGTGAGGACGTCTTTCCATATCATAACTGAAGGAGGCAAACGAATCCGTTTGCAATGAGTAATACTGGAATTAAAAATATGCTGTATGCTTGACTTTTATGTTGCCTTACAGATGTAATGATGTACTGCAGGTGCTCAAATATCCCATTTCCATCATAGACCGAATATCGTCCCTCAGCTGGAGGATACTGGAGAGCGTCTCGATCATCATCCCAATTCTGAAAAAAAATATTTGATCACTTCACTTGTTGACTCATTCAATTACTTTTAAAAATCTATGACGCATTACTGTATTAGTGTCCTCCATGAAATCAACATGAGACATTCTCATTTCCGCAAACAAAATGAGTTGGACAGTTACAAATATGATCTTCAAGACTTGCAATACCATCTTGTATGGGAATTGACGTCGAACCTTAAGAAACATTTGAAAAGCTTATACAGAAGGTGAGCTCACCTTCCATTTTTCAAGAGGATTCATAAAGAAAAACTGGAGATGTCGTCTTAATCTTTCAGCAGTGTCTCGGTTAACATCATCCAAATCGTTGAGAATTTCATCAAAGTTTAACGAAGGTGCTTCGGTTCTTAAGAAGAAGACTAAAGCATGCAGCGCTCCGTATGAATATACCCTTCCGATCCTGGGAAACTGCTGGCCCGACTCCCAGCCCATGACCGTCCGTTGCGCCGGGACATCTTAAAAGAAAGGATTCAAAGAAAGTTAGAAGAGAAGATTATAGAATTCTATTGAACAAACATAAAAAGTGAGTTCAACAGTGGAAATATGACGTCTGGTTGAAAATGTCACGTACTACCGATGTTTACTAGGAAAGAAGAACATAAGGTCAACGTTTTCAATTGTCGACTACATGGTCATAAAAAAAGTTCCTTCAAAAACTTTTGACGGTAATAATTGTTTTGAAGCATGCTTTTCATTATCGTCCGAGAATATTTATTCGATAACAAACAATGATTAATTGATAAGGTATTTCATAGATAAACCAAACCTCTTTCAATGGAACATTGTCAATTTGGTAACTTTGTCCCATAATTCAAAATCAGTAGCACATGATAGTACCAATGGGAGAGATATAGCAGAAGGATGAGCCAGATGAAGTCGGAAAATGAAAAAACTTTTCGCTTTCAAACTTTACAAAAGATCAGCGGCCGAAACACAATGAAAACAGCCGAATAACTTCTGTTGAACCAGATTCCTTTTTGAAATTTATATTACTTGTTCAAGTGTTTCTCAGTCGAAGCGATTAAATTTGCATTGTGAGAGCAATATGACGTAAATGATTTGCATTTTTGATTTTCGAATGGTATCGCTACTTCTATGACTATGACAGGAGACGTAAAGTTGGACTCACGGTAAGATGTGCTGCGCAACTTGGCTCGGGGAAATCCGAAAAAAATCAATGGTAGCATGAGATAAGCTGCAGTCATGAAAAAGTTGTTTTTCTGATAAAGATGATTGTTTGACTCAGAATAACATTGTTGCTCTTTGCTTCACCCTGCCGTTGCTAAGTCCCCTCATGATCCAGATTTCAATCTGGAATTCCCTACACCTAGTCAAGAAACGATTTATAAATGTTATAAAAAACAGAAAGATAACCATAAACGTAAAAAGAACGTGATACAGCTATTACTTAGTACAATAAAGTAAACACCAATTGGAAAATTAATCGACGTGCCTTAACTTACTGTATAAATCAATTTCGTTTAAGAGAGAAATGGTTTATACCCATCAAAGACGCATGATGAGACATTGGCATCCTCCTCCACTCTTTATGAACTCGCTCATGTCAACGTCTGCTACTTGGAAGCCTCTTGCGAATAAAGTTTCTTTAGTCTTTTTGGAAAGACCTATTGGAGATATCACTGTTTTGCGAATAGCAATAGCATTACAAACAAAAGCATCAGCTTCTTCCTTGGTGACTGCTATTGAGTTTGGCAATCTTTTCAAGATCTAAGAAATATAAAATATGGTGAGAACGCTTTCATAGAAATCTACTTCAGCTTGAGTTTCCTTGGTGAAAGCATCTGGATAGTACAGTGCTGTTGTCGCGTCGATAGCAGCGAAACAGGTATCCAAGTGGTAGAACTTAGGATTAACTAAGTGGACTTTTATAATCTCGAAATCTCCAATTTGCTTGACTTTATCATAGGCCTAAACATATATCATAGAGTGTTTAGTCAAGGAGGAGTTACAGCTTCAGTAGATCTTTCTCCATACCCAGCCCATAGAGTGTGCTCGTCTGAAAACACGGCATCACCTCCACCTTCGAAGGTCTCAGAATAGTCGTCTCCGAACACTTTATACCCGTTGTTTCTGAACCATTTAAGGTATTCTGGCTGTTCTCCAACTCTGAGATAAGTTGGTGTTAACGAATTCGAATAAACATCAGTCCTCATTGCCTTTCTTTATAGCGGAACTTACTGACGTAGACATTATTGCCACAAACAACACCGCTGTTGCATACGAAGACTTGATCAGGAAGCTCTTTCAGCTGTTCAAGTTCCAAAACCTAGAAATCATTATCAGCTATGCCATAAAACATCATCTGCTCTCTTGATTCTTTGATAAAGAGTGGCACAATGTAGGCGCATTAACTTGTCAAACGCGAACTTGTTTTGAAGATCAACTTGAAACAACAAATATCCGGTTTACCTCAACATTTAGTGAAGTAACTATATTCTTCAGATTATTCCATTGTTTTGTGGCCAAATCTTTGTCAACTACACCTCCCATCCATGGATTGATAGCGTACTAAAACAAAAAAAAAGCTGAAAGAGATGGATACAAAAACAAACTTACTTCGACGGTGAAATGTTTGGGAGGAACCATCAAAATCCTTTGCAATGTTTCGGCAGGGGATTTCGGCATTCTCATAGCTATAAAAAAAGAAGCTTGATTCTATGCTTTTCTGGGGAAAGAGCTATTCGAGCATAAAAAACTTCTGAATGGGTTGTATATCAGTAAGTTGATGTTATTTATATATTTGCGAGTGCTTGTATACGCATCCTTCGGACTGATAAAAAAATCACGCGTTGCATTGATTTCTCTCTGTGTACTCTGTACCCTCCATACAGGTTCCTTTCTCTGCTTTCGGTAAACTCATTTTTTGTTTGAAAATACGAATCATGGCTGATAATAGTAAATTTCAAGTTGATTTCTATTATGATGTTTTTTCTCCATACAGTTGGATTGCTCTCGAGGTTAGAAACTATAAAAACACTTTCTTGATTTTATGAATAAATTATAGGGCCTTCTTCGTTATGAAAAAGTTTGGCCAATATCACTGAAATTGAAACCTTTCTGTCTTCGGGACATTATGATCGCCACAGGTGATGGTGCCTATTTAATATTTGATGCATTTTTTTTCAGGGAACAGACCACCGGCTGTAGTTTTGGCAAGAGCTATGAACATGCTCAAAGATATTCAAAGAAACAACGAATTTTGGGGTATGAAGATTACGCCACCAGCTGTAAGGCTTGCATTCATTCAACAAGACTCACCATTTGCAGAAATTCCAATCATGGTTGAAGAACAAGAGCACTACAACTGAAGTTACTCAAAAAACTCTAATTGTTCTGCAACATGAGCAGCCAGGTAGAGGAGACGAATGAAGCAAATGTTACTCTGATTTAGAGAAGCTTTTAACTGTCTCAAGAGGCTTTTGGAAGAGAATGTGGAACGACGGAAAACCTATTTTCCAGAGGGATGATATTTTAACAGTAAGCTGTGTAATTTTCAATGTCAAATCAAACCCTGTTGTACTAAGGTATTGAAAGACTGTGGTGTAGAAAATTTCGAAAATGTTTATGAGAGAGCATTGTCATGTCCTAAGATTGCTGAAGAACTGAAGGCGAATACAACAAACGCTTTGGATGAAGGGGTCAGATTTTCATGTAAAATCAACATTTAGAGAGTTTTAAGGCTTACGGAGCACCATGGATTGTTGTCCACAAAGACGGGGAGACCCATGCGTTTTTCGGATCTGATCGTTTTCACTTCATAGCTCAACTAATCGGACAAACATTCAGTGATGGGCTGATAAGATTTTCGTCTAAATTATAAGCAGATGAACGTTGACAATAAAGATTTGATGTACTCTACAATAAGTTATGCAATAACTTCAATATACAACTGGGTGATAAATGACTCCGAACCCATTAATACTTCTCAACCTCACGATCTCTCTCACGGCTTAAGACTTCACACGTTCCGATCATAAAAATTTATATAAAATTTAGTGAATGCTCGAGATCGTCAATCATACTGTGGAAAAAACAGTTATAGTTTAAAAGCTCTAAACCTGACTCCAAACCACTGAGATTCATCTTGTTAGAATTACAGAAAGAAGAGCGGTTTTTAGGATAAGTATAAAGTTATTATGAGAGAAGTTGGAAGAGTAGAACTCTTAATCATTCTACGAATGTAAACTGTGAGTAGGTGAAAGATTATCTCTCGGACTTAATGGACGGTCAATGGAGTCAAACGGTGGAGAAGGAGAAACTGAAGTTGAAGCCCTTTCCATCGAGAGCAAGCGATAAAGAGTGGATAATGTATGGAGGGATGTGTCCAACTTCCTATCCATACAGAGGATCTGAATATCATTTTATTACAATACAAATTGTAAACTTACCTGCATTTCCAATCGCGATAATCTTGATCCAATAGTGTTAGACTGTCCTTTTCGAGTTGACGTCCCAGTGTACTGCCCCGGTTTCCCCAGAGTTTGATCTAGTCTGAAAACAGAAACGAAAATGAAACTCTTCAAACTAGGAAACCTTCTTTGTAGCTCTTTAATTCGCACCATCATATTTAGATGGCCCTGCGAATACTGTTCGATAACATCACGAACATCATATGGCTTTCTAGCTTGCTGGAAGTGTTGTAACTCAACTGATAAAACCTGGAAAACGTACTTGGAACTTTTTTCGAGCAACAAAGTATTTGATTTTCCTCAAAGCTCTTATAGCATTCCTGTGAACTGTGGTTAATTCGCAAACGCTGAATTTGATTTTTTCCTGGGAATATTATAAACTTCACCAACTGAGCTAATCGAGTGAGCTTGACGGTTTCTTCTGTGTCATCGAGTTCTTCTAGTTTACCTGAAAAATTCGTCGAATTTATCTGTTCAATCGAATCGAAATTGTTAGAACTGCTATTGGGCAACGTATAGTCTATAGTAGGTATAGTAGACCTACACTGAGAGAAAACCCAAGTTCAAACTCGGGGCGCACGTAAAATCTATGGCAAAATACATGCCACGTATCTCACGTACCCTATTGGTAAACACTATACAAGTACGAACTCGAGGTGTTTCAAAACTCAAGGTGTTCCGCAGAGGGAAAGTTATATGAATACTCGCTAGCAATGTTTTCCGTTAATCACCACCGCACCAATCCAGTCTTTTATATAAGAGAGCATTAACTACTAAGACGTTCTGCAGAAGCAATTAAGTCGGAACTTTCCCAATCTTTAACAGTAAAAAAACGCCATGTGTCTCAAGTAAACTGGAGATGATTTCGGGACATGTATTGCAACCAGCGTTGGATGAAAACCAAGTAAAAACTCGAGGTAGTCCAGTAGACTAGAGGAAAACATCGAACACCCATATGAAACCCATCTAGCTGTTCTAATCATAGTAATGTTAACAGTTTGGAACGTTTGCAGGAGACAGGCAGCTTGCTCTTTCGAAATCTCTCATCCACATTCCTCATAAGAAACCAATTTAGATGCTCTGCCCATAATACCAAACAGCATCAACTAGTTGGAAAATGCGCAGGAGCAATACAGCTTGCAGGGTGCAGCAAAATCAGCGAAGGAAAAACTGGCCAACTGTTTCCCGTAGATTTAGAAATTTTGTGGGTGATGCCATATGATTGGGGAAGTGAAAACTCGAGGTGCTCTTAAAACAGAGAAAAACATATGAAATCTCAATACAGAACAAATTATGAGCCTTCACCTTATTAGGAGATAGCATTAACTATTGACAGCTTCTGTAGAAGCAATTTAGTTCGAACTTTCCAAACATTAAACAGTAAAAGATCGCCACGTATCTCATATCAATAGGAGATGATTGGGGGGCATGTATTGCAACCAGCGTTGGGTGGGTGAAAAACAAGTAAAAACTCGAGGTAGTCCAGTAGACTAGAGGAAAACATTGAACACCCATATGAAACCCATCCGGACGCTCTAGCCATAGTATGACAGTGTTAACTACACACGAAGCTAAATGCAAGCAGTACACCTTGCATTTTAAAAACCTCTCATGTTATAAGACGCCATGTATATCGGGCCATTGCTATTGCGGGCCAAGTATTATGATAACCCTGAGAATATGCGTGTCACGTACTTTAATGGTAACGAACATACAAGTACAAACTCGAGGTGTTACCAAGAGATAAGGTTTACGGAAACTTGCACGCCACGTTTTACACGGAAATCAAGAGAAGTTGCGGGACACGCATCACCACCTGCACTTAAGAGAAACCAAGATCAAACTCGAGGTAAGAAAACCAGGTGGAATCTCGAAGAATCCATTAAGGATGAGATCAAAGTTATAATAGAAACTAGAAACAAAACGTTAAACACCCATATGAAAGCCATCCGAACGCTCTAGCCACAGTATGACAGTGTTAACTACACTCGAAGCTTGCAGGAGCAGTACAGCTTGCACTTTAAAAACCTCTCATGCTATAAGACACCATGTATATCGGGCCATTTCTATTGCGGGCCAAGTATTATTATCACCTATCTAACGTTCAGTAAAGGGAAACGGGTGGAATCTCGAAGAATCCGTTTAGAATAGATTAAAATTAATACAGAAACTAGAAACAAAAGGTTAAACACCCATATGAAACCCATCCGGACGCTCTAGCCATAGTATGACAGTGTTAACTACACTCGAAGCTTGCAGGAGCAGTACAGCTTGCACTTTAAAAACCTCTCATGCTATAAGACGCCAAGTATAGCGGGCCTTTTATATTGCGGGCCATGTATTATTATCACCCCGAGAATATGCCTGCCACGTATGTATCTCACGTACTTTGATGGTAACGAACATACAAGTACAAACTCGAGGTGTTACCAAGAGATAAGGTTTACAGAAACTTGCACGCCACGTTTTTCACGGAAATCAAGAGAAGTTGCGGGACACGAATCACCACCTGCACTTGAGGAGAACCAAGAACAAACTCGAGGTAAGAAAACCGGGTGGAATCTCGAAGAATCCATTAAGGATGAGATCAAAGTTATAATAGAAACTATTAAAACGTTAGATGCTAATTTCAGAATACGATATAAGGATTTTTAAAACTGGTGTAAGAAAAAAGTTCTAGGAACTAAAAATGGTTGCTCTACCTTTGGCATCGGGATCTTCTGTATCGCTAGTACGTTCTTTGAACTTGCGAGCCTCAAACAAATCCAACTCAGTACTAACGCCTGTTGCTCTGATCTTTTGGAGTAAACTCGTCCTGAAAGTTAAAATAGCACTTCATTACAAAACTAATTGATTACTTGGATTGCTGTTTTTTGAAAATGTTGCTCATTTTCCTATTCGTCATATCAAGACTGCCACTATTAGCTATATCCGAAGATTTCTTATACACTTCATTAGTTTCTTTACACAATGGATCGACATGCACTTTCCTGAATTTGTTGTCATCAAGCTTAATGAACGATTACTAATCACCAAGTAGCTGATTCATGTCTCTCAGTGGCATGACATCTCCATAAACATTGTATAAGAGTAGCTGCAGCAGGGATTTGCCGATTGAAGTGCTTCTGTCTTTGCTTCTGTTGAACTTTCAGAGCAAAACCTGATCCTAATATACCCTAAGAACCGTTCAGAAGAGAGCGAAGAAATATTTTTACATACCGCTGGCAGAGCAAAAAAACTAATGGCAAAGATTGAGAAACAAGATGCAACAATGCGCCCAAGCCATGTCTGAGGCACAACGTCGCCATACCCTATGGTTGTCATCGTGATCTGTACAAACGATTGAATAAAGTTTTGAAAGCATCGAACTTACAACACCCCACCAAAGTGCGTCAGCATAACTTGTAAACGCTTGTTTGTTATCAGGGGTAACGTGATCCTTTTCTGCCAGATACACAAAGTAAGATGAAAATATTAATCCCAAAAATCCAATGTAAAGAGTGGTTATCAGCTCTTGTCGATGAATAAAAACAACAGATCCAAGAAGTCTCCTAAAATGCTAGTTGAAATTCAGCAAATTTATTTCTTCGTTAGACCAAGTTCCACCCTGCCGGTCTACATGAAGCATCCGTAGAATTTGTAAGAAGCGGACGCCTCTGAAAAATTATATCCTAGCTCTGTGCTGTACAATTCTATTAAATACCTAATTGCACTGGTTGCGAACACTTGTCCCTCGGTACCAAATAGTAGAACAGCTATACTTGCTATTACAACAAAAAGATCTAAAACAACACGTGATCTGGATTTCAGATTACTTATACCTATAGCAGATATGGGCTTTCGTGCAAATTTCAATCTTCCCCATAAGCCCAAATACTTCGATCGACATCCAGCAGCCCATAAGCGAACACAATATTCAATTGCAAAAAATACAACAAGAATAACTTCCTGTAAAACATGCAATATATTATAACTGTATGAATATGGTAAATACTAATATAAATAATAATTCTGCGGCATGGAGGGAATGTTCTTCAACTGTTGATAAAACACTCAAAATTAAACATATAAGTACAACTATGAACACGCTGAAATCAGAGATCTGTTTGAGACTGTTGATTACTAACTACCTGAAGTGATATAGAAAGCATTTCCACCCTGCCGGTCTTTCTAAGCAATTATAAATCTGAAAATCAACATGTATAAGTACTTTCCTCAGAGCTTAACCTACCTTAGATTGAAGGGTGGGTTTCGCGGCCTTTCTTTCTCGTTGAGATTTATAACGGGCATCGAACATCTGAAACAATTCTTCAGTTAGTGATACCCGTCAATAATCCTTTGATGTATTTTTTTCTACCCCATTAAATAAATATTTTATATTTCGATAAGAAAGCAACTGGCTCCAGTTTCGTTTTCTAAATGTATGACTAAAGCACCTTAAGCGCAGTTGCACCGGGAAGGCTTGTGATCATGATTACGTAGTAGGCCGTAGGAACGAAAATGAGACTTAAGTTATTTTTATGATTTCTCCGTATAGCTACAAACGGATAAACGAAACGAAACATAAAGTAAACGACAGATTAGAAGAATGAATAATGAGTGTTCAGAACTCTTTCTACCTAGCGGTTGATTCAGGCTGGTTTTCATTTGTTCCGAAATCGATGTCCATTACTAATTTATATTTTAGAAATGAAAATGGGAAACTTCACTTTCTCAAAAGCATCTCCGGCGATTGGTAAGATTGGAGCATTATCTGGAGAATTACAGTCGTTCATCAGTCTTAACTCTGAAATGAGGATTTGAAAAAAAAACAAAACAATTGAAGCCTTAGATCGTCAGAATACATATAAATCAATTTGAATGATAATTTTCTAGGAAACGGTTAAGAACTGATTAAGATCCTAAATAAAGCAATGATTGTTCAATGATAGACAGTTATAGAGCTCCTGTTCTGAGCTATAATTAAACCATTTGATGGTCATTGATTGTTTTTATTATTAGGAAAAAGGAAGCCCCTTTCTAAAATCTTTCGCATATTCCATTTAATTATAGCATGGCAGGCTTGAGCACATGAGATTATATGAGCATATCGCTCGTATTACATCATCACCTAGATGAATATATAATCATTCTATCTTCTAGTCTTTTTCCGTCCGCATATATCCCGACTAGTCTTAATCATGACTTTCTTCTGTCATTAATCTCATGCTGATCACATAAAAGAAGAATCTAAGAACTAATTATATGGCTACTAAATCATCTGGTTCAGTCTTGTTTGTCCACAGAGTTCAATTCTTCAACGTGGACACTCTCCTGGTTGTCATTGTCAAAGCGTTCAATTCAAACAACCTTCTCTTTTTCACTTACTCCATCATTTTTTCTCACAAAATGTTATCTATGTACTCATTCTATCTTTTTCATATGAAAACCTTAAAGAAAAAGAACGTCCTCGACAGTCTGAAAACTGCCCCAAGTTGAATTTGGCCTTGAGTTTTATCTTTCAGACCGATTGGTTCTCGACAAGTATTAGGCAGCTATTAACTAGACAGCAACCAAGTACTTTCTAGCATAACAGCCATTGACTTTCTCGAACAGACGCCCTGTACGAACCACCTGCACGCATTTACAACTAGATGAAAGCAAACTGTGGGAGGAATAAGTAACATGCAGTTCAAGAAAGTAAAAATCGATTTCTATAAGTATCGATTGGAACCACCGAGTCCAAGTAGAACAATAAACAATCAAACTCTATTTCACGGTTACCTACAACTTGGTAGTCTATATTGCAATTTGTGTTGAAATGAGGAATGCTAGAGCATAAGTTGTCTCTTTCCATGTGATGTCAAAGAACACAACACGAATACAGGGAAGGATTGAGAGAGAAAGAGAGAGAGATAGAGAGACAATTCAATTTGAGGTGATGAAATAAATAATACATGCGAAGATATAGACACTTAATTCGAATTGGCAACGGTTGTCAAAGCTCTCTCATTATCAGAGCTCTGGCTGCTGCGTGGAATAAGCTAGGGAGAGAGTTAGACGGATCAAGGCAATCGTTGGTGTTGTCCATATACAAAGAAATTGAATATTTTTTAGTCATATAAATGTTTTCATATCTGCTACAATGCCCAAGATTACAGCTATTGATGAAAAGAAAAAAAAATAAAGAAAATCATGAGGAATATGTGAAATGCTTGATGCCTGCTTTCGACTTGCTTTTCTCTCTCTCTAATCTCTCGTCAAAACTTATATTCCTTCCAGGGGATTTTTCATTTATCTACCTGTCGTTGCCACAGTAACAGATAAAGAGAAAATGGCTGCACACATTCTCCCTTTTCATATCCCTCCCTCTCTCTCACTTACTCTCTCTCTAGGCTGCCTCTCTATATCTTAATACTCTCTAAATCTACAATTTTTCCTTCTGTCCTATTAATTTCATGAAAGAACCATTATGTTTTTGAAAACTGTAAAACCAAATCACATTTCCGCCGAGCGAATGATTGGATCAATTGCGAAACTATTAGGTTGACGCCGTACTATTCCATCAGTGATGCGAGTTAAGCGTCCAATGGCGGTGAGCTCTCAACCCTCAGCGCTCCCACACACACCTCCTTCGTCTCCCTCCCCTCTCTCTCTCTCTATGCTATCCTCCATTATTTTAATGATTTATCGCATGTTTTCTATTTCCAGCAAAATTCAATTATTTCATTTCACACGATCTTAATTTCCATGGCCGATCATCTCATATCAACGACACGACTTGTTATTATGAAATTAAAAACCTTTTGTTTAAGATATAAATACCTTTCCATTATGGATATGAAATGGTAATTTTCTTTTCTTAAACATATTCTTTCCATCATAATGAGAGGATGATTTCCTAATTCCAATTATCATAGAAGATGCCAAAGCTTTTCTAGAAATCACTGATTGTTCGAGACAGCACCAACCGAAAAGCCATTGTTGATAGGAAGAAATGAAAAGAACAAACATTCGGTAAGAAACCCCCTTCCCCCCTTTCTCAGCACAATTCTTTGCATAAAAAATGGAATGGACAAGTATGGTTTCTCTCTTATACTCTCCCCCCCTCTCCAAAACGATATATCAGACACATATGACATGGAATTGCCGTAAAACTTCTGCAAATCGAATTGATAGTTGATGGCGCGTTCTACAACTCGATAATTATAATATGAGAAAAGAATGAAACAAGAAAGTTCGTGAAAAAACTGATAACTGTTCAATGTTTCATATACATTGGAGATCGAGTGCTAAACGTACGCAATGGGGAGAAGGTTCAAAGTAACAGCACAACGGAATAGGATGTGTGCGTATGTGTGTGTGCTTTTTTTAGATTCAAAAGCATTCTAGATAACTCTTGAACAGGGATGATAAGAAAACCTCCGGTAAAGATTGGCTACTACTACTACTCCAAGTTGTTCATGAAGTAGTGAGGAGAGAAAATCGTTTGGCGCAGAATTTGTATGATTAAGAAGCTAACAACCAATGTTTATATGCACTATCATGGATATATCTCATTAGATTCGTCTCATCTAGATGTTTCCATACAAATCGATAACTTGTATTGTATGTGAGAGTAGGAGAGAATGAAAAATATGAATATAAATATAGATCTTTAGTATAAGATGCATTCGAATTGTATCTTTTTATCCAATGGGCGCCAAGTTCAAATAAATTACTACAAAACGAGTCGAGTATGAAACTACAAAATGAAAAATCGTCTTATAAGGTCATCTGACTGCTTGAGCAAAGCTGGCACAATCAGTGTTACTAGAATGACACACACACACACACTATTATCACAAAATAATGCCATCTGATTATTTTCTTTGAATTTTAATAAACACTGTTTCAATTTTAGAGTGAAAGTCAATATTTTCGATCTCGCGTCCGCTCCAGGTCCCTCATTGTTGGCAGAGGTTACCTGGACGTCAGCAAAGATTTGTGTACATGTAAGTAGAAGTAGAAGATAGGAGAGACAGATAATACAAATAGGAGAGAATGAAGGAGAAAAAGACTATTTGAACGGCCAAAGGATATCAGGGCAGTAGCAGATAATATCTAGTAATAGGTTGTCTAAATACTTTCATCTGTTGCCTCCTTGTCGATTTGAACATCATCAGTTCTGTTTTTTTTTGTTTTCTTTATTTCTTCTCATAACAAAGAGATCCCGAGGCTTATTTCCTAATATCTAAATGAATGATTCAATTTAGGAGTTAGTCTAGAACTTTCTTCATTTCCTCAGATTTTATAGCCTCTATGCTATGAGGAGAGTGGACTGTAACGTTTTGTGAGATAAAGTACCCTCGCTTTTTGTCCAGACAAAATATTTCGTCATAAATAGCAGATGAATGAAAAGGAAGACTGATCGTAAACAAATTGAGTCTCATTCACCTGCTGTGATTTATATTACTTTCCACTCCAATCTCTAATAAAACATTCGGGTGGTCCAGGGCACTAAGAACCCAACCACACACATCTTTCAATCACAGAATATTGCTCTTGAAATAGTCGGAACCCCTTGAGTCTGCAGACGATTTGGAGTTAAGAAAGGAGAAGAATCAATCTAATTCTCTTTCAATTAATCTTGTAGGAATCATAAGTCAAATCATCTGCCATAACATAATGTAAACAATAATATTTTTGTCCAAAGAAATTATAGATAGCGGTTATAAACAAAATGAATGATGAGACACACAAGCTAACAAAGAAAAGATTTCTGAGATACGAGATCAGATCATATATCAAACGATTTCAAATGCAAAGTTGAAAGATGATCGATACTGAATGAAGGAAGAACTATCAAAATTAGTGACAGCACATGCACGAAACGAATAAAATTATGTTATTACGTTATTGGTGATAGCGGTACTTTTCAGCTTCTTGAACGTGAATCTAACGTAGTCGGAATGAGGATGAACGATGAATAACTGATTACGAATTCAAAAAATGGATGAGAACAAGTGTGTGCTTTGATACAATCACATCACAACAGTCTGACTAGCTGCATGGGAAAGCATCCAGACACATCGTTGATAGTCGTCACTTCCTATATATCATTTGACTATTTGTGCTTTAAAACTTTATCAACGGCTTTCACATGTTTGTTAGGATGATTTCACCAATAAACTTATCGATAAAACAACTATTCTCCATTCTCATCTAATAAAAACTTGGTGAGAGCTCAATGACGACAACGCCATTACGTACTTTCGCCCCTGCCGTTTTTAAATTCTTGCGTACGCAGTCTCCATACAGTCCAGCCAGCTACTTCTCTCATCAGTCAATAATCCATAAAACGGAAGTGCTTGATAAACGAGCCCGTACTATTCTGTTTTAAATTTTCCTTGACCTTGTACGATACTTTGTGTACTTTTCATATCAAAGTTATTCACGCTCCGCTAATCCCCGTTGACTGAATTGTTGTTGCAATCTATGCATGTTGGTTTTGAGACATATGATTGTCTGGTACTTTCACTTTCATTCCAATGCAGATCTACTGTTGATTTATTTGTCTTTTATATATCGAGACATACGTGGATATAAATATATTTTATACTTGACATCTCCCAAATCTCTGATCATGCCTTTCCCGCACAATCTCCTAAAAAGCATTCGATCCGCGATTCTTATCTAAATCGTCAAATTCTTAGGTATATTCGTCGTGGGTGTGTGAAGTATCGTGTTTTCTTCTTCTTCAACTGCTGCTTCGGCAGATTAGAGAATAAGATGCTATACCGAAATGTTTTATTGAGGAAAAGCAACAACAAATGAGGTTTGCCAAGGAAGTCTTGCAAGAAAGACAATGATGATGGATGATAGTAGATTGCAAAACCAAAGTAGTCCCATAATAAAGGAAAGTGGAAGACAAACAGATAAATAACAACAGAACTGTTCATCTTCCGTTAAAAGATCGAAACACAACCCAATTGCAGAATATGCAAGAAATAAAGGGAGTAAACACAGGGATTACAAGAACAGAAGTACAATCTCTCGAGGCAAGACGATTTTCTCGAAGAAAAGATATCAACAACAGTAATCTTAATTAAATCTTGGAAAAAATCGTTCGACCAAGGCTAACTTCAAACATCTAATATGGATATACCTATCAAGTCGAAGAGTCTGAAGAATTGTCAGTACGATTCGTACAAGTATAAAAACGAAGTCATTATATCAATATGGAAGCATTAAAACGACGAGACAAAATTCCAGAACTTCCGATAGATGGAACATCCCAGAAACCGAAATTAACAACTGATCAATCGTTCAGCCACCAACAATACCTATGTTAATATACAACTGTTGGTATGCGGATAAAGAACTGATCATTCCTAACAACAGCCAAAGAAATGTTCAAACGGAAACTTGAGAATTTCTAACTACTGGCCAACCGGAATAAAAATATAAACAAATGATCTGGATGAAATAAGCTTTTGAGAAGAAGAATAGACAGCGAGAATCAATTTGCTAAGGCTTTTTGAAAAGAATATCGAGCATATCTAGGATAGAAATTTCGTCAACCAGTAGAACATGCATTAAATGAAACTCTGAAGCTCTCATCAAAAGTTATAAAAAATAAAAAACTATTACAACTTTTGAGGTGTTCACTCACTAACAACGTAACAACATGATTAACAAGTAACAATTCGTTTGGGGTTTTTGTTTTAACTTTTTCTGAGGAGAATGAGGTGATCAAAAATAAGTGTGAATGATGAGAGGTTTGAAGAACGTGAGCAACAAAGAATCAGAGCAAAATGAAGAAAACACACACGAACGCACACAAACACAAAAAATATCAAAAAATAACAATACATGACCCTTCCATAAACGTCCAACACCGAATAACCCAACAGAACTACAGAAAAAAAATATTCGGGAGATTGAGTATTACGATGTATCATGTTTAAGAGAGTATAGGCGAGCAGATAAAGAAAAATAACGAAAACGGAAAAAGTACTGCCCACCTATACTCAAAACAATAACAACGTTCATTTAGTTTCCAGCTTCTAATATTTCAAGAAGTGGATTCCATAAAGAGCGATTAGAGCAAAGAGAGAGTATGGCCTTCCGCATTGTAGAGCGGGCAGATGTTACTGAGAAATCTGGGTACGTTACGCGGAAGTCGAAACAGCAGAGCTATAAAGTACTTTCATTAAAAATAAAATGGAAAACTGAAAACTGACATTCTTGGGTGGACTGAGAAGGAATCGACGTGCATATTCCAAAATATAAACTCCACAGTCGAAATCATTTCTTTGCTGGTTTGCAGAAGGTGGGCAAATCAAGTATGTGTTCATCTCCAGAGTTTCTCTCTTCCACTTCTGCCATGCATACTGAAAGAAGAAAAAATGGATGAGAAATGGGAAAGTTGATGGCATACCTTCATGAAATCGTTAAGAACTTTGTAAATATGGTCAGCACCATTAAGATCATATGATATTAAAGAATCAAAGTAAATTATCTGACATTCTTCCTTGAACGGATTGCATATTATGGCAAGCGACCTAATTAGAACAGTATTCTCTCTGTATGATCAACGAAATCATACCAGTGATCCCACTCATTGATTGGAACAACAATAAAATCCACATCGAGGAGATCAAAGCCTTCGACAAACTCAAGAACATCCCGAAATCTTATATCTTGCTGAAAGGAAACTGTTACGAGTCGGTCGATAATTTGTGAACGAACCAAATTCTCTTCACTGATGGACTGCTCATCAGGAACATAATTTTGCAAGAGTGACAAATTGTGCCAAAACAAAGAAGGAAGAACTGTGACTCGTTTAGATCTAAAATGATTGCGATAGAGATAGTATGCAGACAGAGTAACTTACGGATCATCGGGTAAAATGTGCTCGACGATATGATTAAGATAAAAGTCCACTATGGTATCGTTCAAAAGATTCTGAAAAGAGGGAAGTTTAAAAAGATCACATTAATTCATCTGCAAATCACAACCCTCACTTTACAATTTGAATGATCGTTTGAATGAATTTGAGAGATATGAAGACGATTAAAGTGTCAAAAGTCTTCGGTTAACTTCTAACCTATAAATCTATACCCTGAGTTCTCCACAAAGAGAGAGAGGTCATAGATCTGTTCTTCATATTCTGTCTGTCCTCTTGCATATTACAACATATGCATATTTAGTAGATCAGAAATCAAAGGACATTACAAAAGTCAGAGGTCCCCGATTTCTAGGAGCTGGCAAAACTACTCCAGTATCCAAGTACTCAATTTACACTTAGATTGTCGCATTAGTTATTGAAATCATTTAAAATCATCCTATTCCTTCAGACAATTTTACAATCAATCATTTATCAGCCAAGTGCATCGTTACGGTCTCCGTCAAGCCGTCTTTGTCCTTCCCCAGCAGTTGCCAATTCTAGCTTGCAAAGGCATATTCGTTATCGTAAAATAATAGTTTCACTTTCATAAACCAAATACTTTTCCTGTCGACGTCGAGGACTAGTTTGGGTAGCCAGCTGGTTGACTCAGACAACCTATGGCCCCGAAGATTCAACTAACGCGCGAAACAAAGATTTCCCGCCAACAAGCGCTAAGAAATGAAAAGAGAACACAATGTGACGAAGACGTGGTTGGTTGTGATGATGAGAGGGTGACGAGGAAATCGAAATGTAACATATGCGGCAAAATGACACGTCTTTCTTTTCCTCTAACCTGACACTTTCTCTCAGCTCGTACATGTTTATAAGAACAAATGCTCTCTTCATAAATTAGATACCGACGCCAAAGGATAGGTACGTATGCTCCTCCAGCTGCACATCCTTCACTGCAAAAATTTAGAGACAACTATCGTTTCATCTGTCACATTTGAAACTCAGTGTAACATCCTTCTACTACCATCATTATCATTAAGACTCTTCTACTAAACCGAAAGAAGTATATATTCGAATTCAACAGCCGCTTTTTGTTTCGGAAAACTGCTTTGTTCGAGGCTTAGTGGAGCAAAATGAACTTTGAGTAACTCGTATACACCTCTATTACACATGAACCAGGAAATTCAGTCAAACAGAGCCATATATCATATTCTTGAACTCATTGGGGGGAAGAAGTAGTGCTACAACATCCATTACCTAAGAAATTAGGCAACAATTGCATCGTCTGTTCCAAGTACAATTTTAAAAGTGCAGCGCTCGACTGGAGGGTCACCAGAGGTTTCTCGACGGATACACACTCTTCTCTTTTCTGCATGCCTTCCTCAATTTCGTTTTGCTTGCCTCATTCTCAAAGAATGAGTCTGCTAGTAAACGACGACAGATTTTCTCTAACTCTCTTGCTTTTCAGCAGAAACGCATAGACCCCGCAACCAATCTTTTTCTATTTCTCTGTCAGCCAGGCTATCCAGCCGCTACCCAAAAGTGCATTTTTTGAACAACCTCGCTTCCTCACATTTCCCCCTATCTTTCGCAAAGCACATCGCAACACACAAAAGACCGCCCCACAAACCAATACCGCAGCCAACTAGCCGCACAAGTGTTCAAACAAATTGTATGAGCTAAGCTAAGGACATTTTGGTGGCGCTCAATGTTGGTTATAGTGTAGGCGTTGATTATGAATGAACCTACATCAAGTTTTCTAAAAGGAGATGCTTCATATGCTTATTTTTGAGAGGAGAGCTAATAGCTTTAGTCTCTTCAGCTTAATGAGCCATAGAACAGAGATCGAGATCAAACTGTTCCAATTGGCCCTTCGACTACTTCATCGTTCCAAAGAGCTATGTAAACATAACCTAAACTTTTAGAGCTTCTGACCACACCTACTTGGTGTGAATGATAAAGCTTGCTTCTACTAGGGTATATCTTAGGATTTCTATGGCAACAAGTTATCTCACATGTCCCCCTTTTCTCCCGTTTTCCATTCCTCACCTGGTCTTGTAAACAACAGAAATCGGAGAGGCGGATTGTGATAGACTGGTAAGGAAATCGAATCCTCAACATTTCTGTTGATGCTGCCAATTCCAATGCCTCGGTCTGTAAAAATAGAAAGTTCAATTGTTCTCTGTAATCAATCGGGAAATAGAGAAATTCTCGATCGCAAAAGTGTAGAAGATATCACGAATTTGACTTCCTTATCTCAAGCGAACCTATCGCTTTTGCACAAAAAAAAATTTATATTAGGAGATAAAATGTTGCGAATGGGTAAATTTTGAAAAGTATGGAGTAAAGACCTTATTGCAGTTATCATCAACTTCTTCCATAGGTTCAGTAACACTGTATTCGCTCTCACATTCTTCGAAATCTTCATCGCAATAGCTAGCCGTAGATGGATAACCCGTAGGTTCTGAATCGTCTGTAAGAGAATGACATTTTTCAACGCTGGTGTCAACAAAACGATGTGTTGTGCAATATTTCATAAGAGTAAAAAGTAAAAACAAACCATAAATTTCAATATCTCCTTCGTAACCGTAAGACTCGAAGCAACCCGATGATTCGTAGGAACCACTAACATACGACGTTCCACTTTCATAATTACCATAATAGCCAAAACTAGATGAGTTTGGCTGTGTTGAAACTTCCATATTGATAATATATGTGCTACGTATGATACATACAAATAAAAATCTGAAACAGCTGATCTATTAATAAATAAAGAACGTTGCAAAGCTGACAACGAAGAACGAAATGAGAGACCTTTAACAGTACTAGTGCGCGAAAGAAAGATGTTAGAATCAATAAACATAACACACAACTCTTCAACTCTTCTTATATTCAAATATACAGAAGGTCATTATCAACGAATGCAAGTAGTAGATTAATGCAACAATATCAATGCGGAGTCAGTGATAACGTCAAGATGATGGCTATACGATGTGCTTCTAAACTCTTGATTGATATGGAGCTTCGTTCAAGAGTACTAAAGATAAATGTGTCTGACATAATTGACAGCACTTTGCTGTAGACAGATTAACAAATAATCCTAGAGGATGAGAGAATTAAAACAGTATTGGGTAACATGATGAATAAATGCTAGATGATATCTAAAACTTCAAAGTAAGTGAACAAGATGTGAAAGCTAATGAATTCTCCATTGGTCAAGGTCGAGTCGTTTGAACAATGAAGACCAATATAAGATAAGAGCAGCATTGATAGCTGGAACGAAAGTTGATATTATGAAAAGAAAAGGTAATTCCTTCGCGCTCTATCCCTCACTCTTCCACAACAAAATTTGAAACGTCCACAACGACTACCATCTCCACCACCTCTACCAGATAACAAGTGCGTGTACAAAAGTGCTATGAAGATTGTTTACAATATAAAGTATATACAGTGAGAAACTCTTAACAAACGATAAAAGCTTCCCTCTGCAAAAATAATAACTCGCATCCAATGAGCTGCACACTTGACTTCCGTTGGAAGTCCGATAATTCCAGTTAACATTGGAAGAGCGCTGCTTGCAAGAATAGATACCTTGTATAGCGCAGGTGAAACATTTATAAGCTTTTCCAACAAAATTGCATACGTATTTTTATAGAGCTTCAAAAAAACGGAAAGAAAAAATGAAATTAGAGAGTTGCGCGAATTCAAAAGTTTGAAAAATCGATAGGGAATGGCCTGTCCTTCGCCTAGCCGATGGATTTTTTTGTTGAGTCTCTGCCAAAGGGTGGGCGGGGCATTTGTAAACAGCGTGCGGTGTGCAGTGGAATTTGTGTCGGCCAATACGAAGGGCAGATTAATGGAAATAAATATTTGGCTTTCAGAAAAGTTATTGTAAGAGGACTGTGATTTAAAAATAAAGACGACGGGGTGTCAAGGTGTAAGAGGAAAATACAAGAAGGGTATCAGCTGGAATTTGTTTTCGATGTTTTGGACAAAATGAAAGGCCCGCAGTGCCGGTTCCGTCGTGGCAAGGGAAGAGAAATCTATTATTTGTAATGTTTAATGGCACTGATATCGCAATAGGACGGATGAACCAGGCAGATAGTTGAAAAAACGACTTGGGAATATTTTGCAGTTAATTCAAAGGATCTCCGAACCATTATTACTCAGTTGTGATGAGTCATTTGTCAATAAGAGGCAAAAAGAAATTCTAAACGTAATCTGGTAGAGCAGACCCCTAGCAAATTTGAAATTTTCAAGTTTTTACTGCTAATCGACCATATGATTACTGAAGGAAAACGTGATAAGAAACAAAGTCCTTGGGCAATGGCCTGTCAGACCTAGGTATGCTCGACACATTGCCAAAATTAGACCACCAGCTTATCTGACCATATGTAGAAAATTTCGATTTCTAATCAGCTGTGGCAGATCTTGACAAACTTACAGTGGTCGGAATGCAATACTTTAACCAAGAAAATGAGTTCATGGTGACTCCAAGCTAAATTCAAATAACGACCTTCAGTAGTTATGCGTGTATTTATTCTTCAGCAGCTTCTGTGAAACCTCATTTCGCTACGTAGAAACATTTGTAAGTTTAGTGTGCTCTCAGTCATCAGGAATCATTTCGGAACGATCTAGTCCTCCGATGGCAGTTTCATTAGTAGAGAGTTACGGTGCTGATTCTGGAACGCAGTTAGCAAGTTTGAGAAAGGTTATATAAGGGTGAGGTAGGAAAGTACCTCCACAAGTTAATCATATCTTCATCAATTTTCAACAAGGTTTTTGTTTTTTGTTCGCTCTCATTCGGCTTCCCTTCTGCCATATCTTTTATCTTTTTATCAAACGAATCGCCAACATGTGACAAATATAAGTCTTATTTAACACAAAGAGACTCCTGTGATCTACAAGTGAGAGTTAGTCAAATGACTAACTCCCATGATACCATTCACATCAAAAAAAAAAAGAAGATCGTAGAGACAGAAAAAAGGAACAAATGCTTTTTATAAAGGTGCGGCAGAGGGTGGTGAAAAGAGAATCAAAAGTCGCATTGTGAGAAGATAGGGATCAAGGAAAAGGAAGGAAAGAGCATACGTAAAATTTATCATGGGGCGGGACCATCTTATGAGAGGGTGTGTGATAAAGAATAGAGGTAAAATGGTCTCGAAGCGAAAATTCTACTGTAACAGTGGAAACGCTTTTAGAATATATATTATAAAGTATCAACGAGCTTTTGCGACCGCTGCAAGTGTGTGAATAATAAAAAAAAAATTAATCAACATTGAAAGTCGGAAAAGAACAGACAAATTTGAAGATTAAGTCTTATTTCATGATTAAAGTTTCGTAAATGATTTGTCATCTATCTGAAGGGAAAGTGAGGTGTTTAGCGTGCAACTTCTTTATTGGTTGTACAAGTAAACAGTGATATACTGTTGGTTTTTCATGAGCAATCTATTTAATATCTCCAAAAGCAACCCGTGTAATTTGAAATTTTGTTCCACGTGTTGACATATTTGGATACTTATGTTGTTTCATTCTCTACAAATAGTTTTCATGGAGCGGTCCGTTAAGTCGACGTGTAATTTGCGCGTTGGCTAACATGTATTCAAATTCCTTACTTCGCCTAGTTTCAGTTATTTTTTCATATTAACTCAATATGTTTCAGTGTAGTCTAATATAGAGATGCATTGAAGGAGGTTGTTTATGCAAAGTATTCCATTCACAAGTTATCATGCTACGCTCTGAGTTATTTCATATGATATTTTTTATATTTCTACTCTTTATAAATGGTTCAACAGCAGGGGTAAGACTAATCTATCGTTCGAGTCTTAAACACTAAATTTTGAGGAAATTCATGCAAATGCTTCTCCCACATTTGGAACCGTTATTGTTTCAACTATGGATGGTTATCTGCGGGCTCTTGATTTATCCACCGGAGAAGTGAAATGGTCACTACTTGAAGGTTCATATTTCAATTGAAAATACTTCATTGATTTCGTGTATACCTTTCAGCTCCGGTTTTAAAAGCACCGAATTCTGTTAAGCAAGGCTTCACTTTCTTGCCCAATCCACAGGATGGATCTCTTTATGTTCTTAAAGAGGGAAATTTGAAGAAACTGCCATTCACTATACCTCAGCTTGTGCATGCCTCACCATGCAAGGGCAATGATGGTGTGTTGTATGCAGGTTTGTGAGCTGTACCATATGACTTCAAACTGTATTGTTTAGGAAGTAAGAAGGATGTATGGTTTGGCATCGATCCTCATACAGGAAAAAAGGTTAGAATCCTGCTTACGAAAGACGTTATATGTATCGTTCTCAGGTGGAAACATTGTCTTCAGCGACTTCTGAAAGAGTTTGTCCGGCCAATCAAAAACACACAGTTTTTATTGGAAGAACTGAATATCATGTAAATATGTTTGATACTTATAACAGTGGAAAAACGTGGAATGCAACATTCAGTGATTATTCTGCTCATCTTCTTCCAGGTCATCATAACATCCTATATTTCAATACTTTTTATATTTACAGTTGACAATTCATATCCCTTGAAACATTATGTGTCCGCTTCAACGGGTGCGATTCTAGCTGTTGATCCTTCTTCAGGTTTTCCTAGGTTTTTTACTGTATTCATGAGGAAGTTTAGGACAAATTGTATGGGAAAGAGATTTACATACAACTGCCGTCGCTATGTATCTCTTACAAGACGATGGACTGCATAAGCTTCCCTTCACCGTTGTTGGAAAAGAAACGATTGAGAATCTGTTGAAGGTAAGTCATATTTCGTTTTGAATTCATGGGGGAAGTTGGTCTAAAGCTATGAGCTGAGGCAACTAGTGGCATTGTTCGATGACTTCCACTAGGCGTGCTCATCTAGTAAAGAGAAATAATACATTGGTATAATAATCTTTATTTAATAATTCTGTATTGAGCAGTGTTTGTAAACACTGTTATGATATGTAGCTTAACGATCTTCTGCTCCACGACTTGAGCCTTTAGAAGTACCCTCTAATAATTCCGCTGAGTTTGATTTCGACTTATGTTTTTTCTTGGTCGATCTAAAATGAAATCAATAACACAGTCGAAGTATTTTTTTAATAATGGCAAACACGCTGGAACATGATCGACCCATACTAGTCTAGCATGTCTGCTCTGTTGTGTCATTACGTTTTCATTCATTGAACTTTGATTCAAATGATATAGATAGGAAAGTACATATAGTAGGACAATCTCCAAAAAGTTTTTTTTTTCATTTTGCAGAGAAAGAGTATTCTCTTTGGGTTTTATTCTTTTCAAAGTCTTTATGAATGCCTTTCGTTTACTAATGCCTTACTTTCTCTGGAAAGGTTCAGCATAGTACGGTTCTTCTTTGTGAACTGGGTCTTCTTCTTCTTCTTCCTCACTGTTAGAAACACTATAATTGAAGTTTCTAAAGGTTCTGTTTTTTTTTTTACCTGTAGTCATACTGTCTCCGCACCAAATATCCATGAACGGGACACAAAGCCTTCATGATAGTGATTTGTCCTGCTGCGTCATATTTGCAAAGGCAGGGCAAATCTTCACCGGGGGCCAAATATCGGCAACTTGAATCATTGCTATCAGAACTTTCATCATCATCAGTTTGTTCCTGGACAAGAAAAAAATGATTTGAGAGAGCATGAAAATAAACATTACTTGAATGGGAGAAGGCAATTCCTCTATTAAAATGGATTGTTTAGAGCGAGATTTTGTTGAATTAAGGGACTTAAGTGATCTAACATCCTGAACTGATACTCTATGAGATAAAGGTCTTCCATGGTTTAAAGATGTCTTGGAGAGCTTCAATGATGTTGCGGGGTTGTGCGAGGAGCTTCTGAACAAAATTTTATATGATTTGATTTTGAACGCTCTAATCTTAAGACGAAGCTTACATAGAGTTTTTCCGCTCTCTTCTTTTTGCTCTACAGCAGAAGTATATAAGTGGCACAAATTCTAAAATACTGACAACAGAGGCACCGAGCCAGAGTCCTGTAACTCCACCCACGTCTGCCATCAAACTTGTAAGCTATAAGTATTCTTGATGTGAAAAAGAATACCAAGTAGATAAAACCGTATATGAAGGAGTTTCTTGTAGAGTTTCATAATTTAATTCTTCATAGAATATTTGTATCATAGCCGCATTCTTCCTATATTGTTCAAGACATAGATGATCACCAGGAGTGCATTCCATTACTTTCGCTGCCCCTGAAGGCCATCTAGCTGCGGAGTAAGTTACTTCATAATTGGTTTCTCTAGAGAAAGGAACGAATACTGAGCTCCAAAAAGCACGCTTACTCGCAAGGCTGGTGACAATAACACTCGTCGTTCTCATCTTGCTCATGAGCTCGTGCTGCCAACTCTCCTATCAACAAAGTAGTGTTTCTCAAGCATTCTCTTTGCGTCGGGTCTGTGGCTTGACACGGGCCAAGTGCTGTGCCTTGGGGTAAAGGGAACATTGGATCAGCACATCCACATTTGCTAAGAATCATCCGTTGAGCGCAGCTTCGATGACATGCCTGAATTAATGTATAACTAGCTGCTCTTCCCCAATATGACTCAACCTCTACGGAATACTTGAATCCATCATAAACAAACGTGGGATGTTCCTCGCCTCCCCTGCGACATTGCCCATGAGGTTTTTCCAATCGAATGAATTGTTTCTAAACTATCGATTATTGCAATCATTCGATTATATCAATATGAGAAAATCAACAGGGATAAAAGCGAAACTGACCATACGAACTCCAAAGGAAGACATGAATCCCGTAGGCGCACTGTATCCGAAAGCATCAGGAAAGGGCACAATATGTTTATCATGAACGGTAATCCTGAATCCTACTGCTTCTGAAGTTGGTAAATACTCTGCGACATCCGCATATAGGAGAACACGTAGACCTAAATCTCTCTCTTTATGCAGGTTTGCAAAATCGAAGACGCACCGTAGTTAGCACCAGCTCGTTGAGAAGCTCTTTGTGCATTCCTGTCATGGTTGAAGGTATAGCAATTTCCATATGTATTATCATAATGGAGTTTAAAATCTCTGAAAATAGGATTCATGAAGTCTGGCAATCTGAAAATCTTACTTTTTCAAATCACAATCTTTTTGGTTGAAAGAACATTTCAATATAAATTCATCGATTTGATGGGACATTTGCTTCTTCTCATCTTGGGTCATAGAACCAACAGCGAACATGAGATTTTGTTGAGCTTGAGCAGTTAAGGCAATATCATCTGTTATATTCTGAACAGACGGCATTGCTTTCTAATTTAAACATGTGTTTCGAACCTCGAAACCCAACGCTTCCTCCAGTTCAGGTGCTTCAGTAGTTGTGGTGATTCGACTTTCCTGTCTTCTCCTCTGAGCCTCCAATTGCTTGGATGAAAGCAATGTTACGTTCAAAGAGGACAGTTCTTGTTGAGGATCTATTTCCAAAATCACTCCATCTTCTCGCGTTGAGACACAGTGATTATAATCTTTGTGACAAAGGCATATGTCTACTTGATCTTTTATCTTTTCATATGTCCCATTGCCTTTGTAGAATCGCATCGGACAGTGACCTGATCCATCGACACATTCTGAGCATAGTTTCTCCTTCCAAGATGAATCTGAATGTTAGCGTGCTTTTTTGAATTCTGAATATTGTCTTACATGGGAAACATGGCCATAAGGTTTTTGATACGCTATCAAATTGACATAAACACTTTGTCGGATGTAAATTACTAATTGAGTATCCGAGTTCTACTGAAATCTTTCCTTTGTTGGCTGCAAAGCATGCTCCTTTCCGTTCAGCCGTAAGAGGGTTAACATCACATAAACATTGAGCAAATGCTTGGTGATATCTTCGCTCTTCCTTTCTCTTTCTCGGTTTTATTTGAGATCGACGAACTGAAACAATTTCATATTATACTTCTGTAGTCAACGTTCGGACCAAAATTTTTACCAATTCATCATATGCCAGTCAAAGAAGAATCTATGTTCTTTCAAACATTTTTACCTTGTGCGCCTGTTGTGTCCCAGTGTACAATTGATTCGCGAGCGTGTCGCTCTCATAAAGCTTTTAGGCCAGTCTTTTTTGATAAATGGCTTGTCTAATTGCCATACATTCCAAAATTTAAATTAGTGTATAGCCATTTGATGAGCTAATCTCTGAGCCCATATTGGGACTTTTGAACACGGGTCAGTGGAATTTTTTTTGACAAGTTGCAAGAGGCATATGCTTGTGAAAAGAGAAACATCAAAAACTTTCAAAGCGTTGAGAAAATCCTACTGGGAAGAAACTTTTTATCTTTTCAAACGTGTTTGTCTTACAGCGTTGTTGAATGTAGTTATGCTTTGGTGACAAGGGGGGAAGGCATATTGTATTACGCTTTTTGGAGTAAAAAGGAAGTTCTCGAGTTTCGAAGTCCATCTTGATTTTAACAAGAGTAGCATGAGTTAAAATGAGCTCACCCCTTGAATTCAAATGTGCTAATAATGCTGCCGCCACACCTTCGGACTTGTCTCCATTAGCCATTCGCTTAGCATAAGCATCCATCTGAAACATTGGATTACGCTGTGAACAGGTTGTCTGCGGCTCACCATGGCTTTTGTCGCTGGATTATTATTAATAGCACTTTTTTTGTACGGATTCAAGTTACATATTGTCACAGAAGGGAATGGTGCATTTTCAAATTTCAACTATAAGTTGTATGTTAAATTAACTGGTAATTTATGACTACAGCAGCTGCTTTGTTGTTATAGTTCAAAGAAAAAGTGTAAACTCACATCGAGATCCACATTTTTCGCATGTTGCAAATACTTAATAGCTAATAATATAATCTGTAGGGCCAAAGCCAGAATGCAAACGACACAAACGATGAGCCAAAAGAGCTTCCATCGCTTGTTTGGTGCCATAAACCAGTGACTAATACCATGGAATGTTGTATGTCTACCGAATTGTTCCTTGAGCTCTTTCAAGCTGAGGTGACGGTTACCGATTCTATGAGCTAGGCCTGAAAAAAAGAATGTTACATCATTCATAAAGCAATATCTTCAATGTGTTAGTCTCACTCATATTAAAAGTATCTTACTTCGATAGCGCATAGAGTTGGTAAAGTGACGACTTATATGTAGATGAGGCATTTTAAATTAGTTTTGGGATTCGATTATATTATCAGCAGATCAAATTTAGTTGGAACATCGTCGAAAAAAGTGGATTATAAAACTCTTCTAACAGGTCGACTTGGACTATGTGTATGTGATAGTGTGAGAGAAATCAATTGAAATGGCTCTTGATCGAAGCTGAGAGTGGGCAGATTGTCGAACACTGGTCAATGTGGCAGATTGAACGAGTCGAAAAGAATAAAAGCTCTATCAATTGATCAGTCCCGAAGTTGGTGTGATCAAATGAATAATAGTGATGAAGCTACTCGTTATCCAACTAATATTGCATTCTCTGTCAAGATATGTTCCAGTCGATCGACTGGCGAGCAATTCAGAAAAAAACATGACGATTGATGATAGGCCGGACTAGCCAACAATTTACCACACATTCCACCGACAGCTTATAAAAAGCCGAGTTTTTTATGATTCCTCGCTTTCTTATTAGCTTGACAATTTTTCATTTTTCTCTCAAGGTTTTAGATATCTGCTATCATTTTTTCTATATAGGATAGGGGAGGTCAATAACTTGGTTTTTAAGAAGAATGATGAAATGACCATTAACGCGCAACTATCTTTGTGCCGATGTATCAGTTGTTGTTACAAGTTCAGGTTACATGTTCTGCAGCATATCGTATCACAACGTTTTGAAAATTGCTTCGAGCTTTCCTTTATGACATGAAACATGCTGATGGAGTATTATTCACGTTGTTGTTAGAAAAATGTTAGGAAGACGGATTGGGATGGAATACGGGAGAAAGCTGATTAAATTCTCGATTTACCTGTTTGTATCCGGGCGAGATCTGGGTGCATAGAAAGCCGCCTTGCCACACTTTTCCATCGTGGGGCATTTTTTCTTGTTCGCCCATTTTCCAAATATCCTTGATCTACGAATCGTATGTTCTTACTATCTTCCGAGGGTTGCCTTGTGCCAGCAAAAGAAGACTTATGGGTGCTCACACTCGTCTGATCACCGGATGGATTACGATTAGTTAGCGGTTTGGAAGTTTCCTCCAAAGCTACATTTTCCATTTTTTTCTCAGCTGATTGAGCAGATATCTTCTATTCCGTTTCTTGATCCACGTGATGAGATCGATTAATTGCTTTCATTGAGAATGGCACTTGTTCTAGATTGACAAATTGCTGTTATGGATGAGCGCTTGTAAATATAATGTTTAAAACATGGACAGGAACGACTAAAAAGGATAACTAAAAAAGTTTGAAAAGGCAATGATAAACTAGAGACGAGTTTCGGATGCCTTGATTGCCAATGAGTTAGTGATTTTTGAAATATCGATTGATAAGAGCAGAGGCGGATAGAAGCTAAGGTCCGGCCCACAAATCAATTGAAGAGTCTCTGGAACTTCGAGAAAGAGAAAAAGATAGAGTGAAGGGAGGGCAGTCTAATACTCTGACGGCAGTTGCCTCGTTCTCTGGCAATCTTTGAAGAAGATATTAGTAGACTGAAAAGGACAAATGCGGAGTAACACCTTTTCTCTTACTCAGTAGATGTTCTAATGCTGAACATGTAACTGATTGAAATAAGCTCGAACCGAAGTTCATGAACTTACTAATCATTCCTCGTTTATGAGTGTTTTGAAGTCTAAGATGACAATTTGATGGACACGTCCGCTCTCACGCCAATTGTCTGACATTCTTGAATGAACATTTTTTTACAAATCTTCATAGCCAACCACACATCTAGATAGATCTTATCAAACACAACTATTCGAGTACTTTAAAAATCTCAGATATCTCTCTGTTTTTATAGAGTCTTCGAAGTGAGATTTTCAAAAATTATTTTTTCAGAATGCTTTCTCTACGGATGTAGCTCGATTGGATACTTCTCAGAGCACATTGTTCCCTTCCTTATATGTGGGAGAAACTGTTTTTGGATTGTATGCAGTGTCTTCATATGTTGATGAACATACTATTACATTCGCACCGAAGTACCTCGGCCCGCCGTTGCTCGAGGGCCCAAGTCCTATCGCCCTCTCGGTTAGTTTGGCTAAAAATGATTGATTATTGTTTTTTTCCGCTCAGGATGATGATAAGCTTAAATTCGTGCCTCCCAGGAGACCAATTGTCAATTCACCAACTATCACTTACAAGACTACAGATGGGGAATATCTGATTTTGGGTAAGAGCTAAGAAACAGGTGTTTTTATTTACTTGAAAACACTTTGTAATCACACCTCTGAACACATTGCAAGCGATGAAAGAAAAGTTAGAAGTTTTATCACGAGGTATACTAGATTATTTAGCAATAGGATACTTTCATTTTATATTACGGCTTGCTTCCGCTCGTATTTTGTTGAGATATCATAGGCTGTGTGAAGACATTCATCAGTTTTATATCAATGTATACACTTGATAATTACGAACCCATGCCAGTCACTGGATATGTTGTGATGAGTGTTGGCTGTCGACTTATCGATATTGGGATCACAATTTTTAGGTGGCGCCTGTGCTATCAAATTAGAGAAATGAATGCAAGGCTTTTCTAGGTTCGGTTTTTAGAGTGTATTGGACCTTTCTTTCTTCTTAGCTTTTCTAATTGCCTAGTAGATCAACAAATTGAAGTAAAATATAACATCATGACGCGTAAGCTGGCTGGTGTGAAGCGTAATGAAAAGGTGCGAGTAGCTGAAGAAATTTGATGAAGAGAAAAGGGATGAGAAAGAAGATGCTCCTTCTCTTATCTCAGTTCCTAGTCGCATGAGTTATTGCTTAGTCTGTCTGTGAATGACGGGGAAATTTCAAAAAATGACATCTTTATGAAGATTAAATCTATGTTTTCCTTCACACTTCCAACTGTTTTTTCTTTAGGTTATCATGAGATTCCTCCTATGCACATGGGAGCTCTCATACCAGCACGCTTCCCGGAAATCCATACTGTTCATAGCTTGCCATATAAGCCTGAAATACCATCTACTAATACGGTAATTCAAATCAGTATATAATACATCGATCACGGATTGTTCCAGCCTAAACCTCATACAACATCTTCTGAGCTTTTCTCAGCTTATATTACCAATCATGTTATTTTATCTCTAGTCATGCTTGTATTAGTTCTAGTCATCAGTATAGTTTGGATATGTTGGAAACAGGTAGTTCAGGGTTTGGAGCTCGTAACTTTTCAATTTTCCTCAGAGTACAAATGTTACTTACATTGTTCCTGCTGAAGCTCGCAGTGCTCAGACCTCCAGAGTTTCGAATGCATCAAGCGTTAACCAAGTGACTTTCAAGCCTTTCCCTGATGTAGGAAAAAAAAAATCTTTTTCATCATGCATTATAACTGTTACAGCTCCCTGAAGGCTGGCTCAATGTGGGAAAAGTAATTTATAATCCCACTGATGTTCTGGGAAGAGGATGTGAAGGAACTGTAGTTTACAGGTATAAACATAACGACAATCATTCTATGAAGATCAATTTCAGAGGGAAGTTCGATGGTCGAGAAGTTGCAGTAAAACGAGTAGTTTCTGAGTTTGTACGATTGGTTGATCGTGAGGCTGATTTACTTCGAGAGAGTGATACCCATCAGCATGTGATTCGTTATTTCTGCATGGTGAGTGAAACAGAGAGAAGCAATGTCTCAACGTAAACTTCAGGAGTCTGACAGTCAGTTCCGCTATTTAGCCCTAGAGTTGTGTGTTGCTTCACTCTATGATTTCGTAGAACAGAAAAAAGTTCGCGAAAAAATAAAAATACAGACAGTGGAGCTGTTACGGCAAGCAACTGATGGCCTCACTCATCTGCACTCCGCTAACATTGGTTTGAACAATTTTCTTCCTTTTCCAATCTTCTTTTCTAGTTCATCGTGATATCAAGCCACAGAACATCTTAATTAGTGTTAATAAAAGTGGACAAGCTAGGATTGTTATATCTGACTTCGGGCTTTGCAAGCGAATTCAAATTGGTCGTCACTCATTATCACAGAGAAGTGGAATGGCTGGTACAGATGGCTGGATAGCTCCTGAAGCTCTGTTTTCCGAAAGCACAGTATGTTTAAAGAAAAGGAATAAGATTTACTAACGCTTTGCTTTGAAGGGTCAACCTGTGGACGTGTTCTCTCTAGGTTGTATTTTCTATTACGTTCTATCAAATGGAAAACATCCATTCGGTGATAGTCTCCATCGGCAAGCTAACATTCTAAATGGAGAATATAACTTGACTAACTTGAAAGAAGGTATTTTTTTCCTAAGCTCATGAACATTAGATTCTGAACTACAGGCGGGAATGCTGCAATGTGCTTGATCGAAACAATGCTTAGACGTGATCCGAAGGAAAGACCAAAGACATCATCCATACTTTATCATCCGTTTTTCTGGTCTGCTGATCGACGTTTACAATTCTTTGGAGTATGTATAGTATGAAAGTCGATCTCAATGTGGTTTTAAGGATGTGTCCGATCGAGTAGAGAAAGAAGATGAGTGTAGCCCAATCGTAAGAAGACTCGAAGGAAACGCCAAGTTAGTTGTAGCTGGAGGATGGAAAAATCTTATCTGTGAACATCTATCAGAAGGTTCGGTGCCGCATTATCTTTTTTTTTTTACTTATTCTTTCCAGATTTACGAAAGTTCAGAACTTACAAAAGCCACTCGGTGAGGGATTTACTCCGTGCCATGCGAAATAAAAAACATCATTATCGAGAATTACCTGACAACGTGCAAAAGTCTTTGGGCCACATACCCAATGAGTTTTTGGTTTACTTTACATCACGTTTCCCTCTGGTACGATGACGTGACTATTTCATAATTATAATGTTTTCTTCCAGTTACTAATGCATTCCTACGAGTCACTTGAGTGGTGTGCGAATGAGCCAATCTTCAGAGGATATTACTCAAATGAGGTTTCGTTTTTGACAAATCAAAAGTTTACAGTTGGTAACTATAGGTGAGAGAACGTATGAAAGATATCGTCGAGGTGGAAGAAGCCATACGGAAAGAAAATGAGGAGAATGTGAATGGGAAATGGATTCGTGGGAAGGTTACCAGTCCAAAGAACCCTGGAGGACCACATAATAAGGCAAAACAATTGTTGTGAAGCTGAGTTTTATTATTAATCAAGCTTATCTTCCGCTTAATATCTCGTAACAGAAGTAATTACTATTGTTTAGGGGTTAGTTTTAATACGGTTCTAAGGGTGTGATATGTTTAAACATTATTCTGTGAAATGGGGTTGTTATAGGCTTCGATTCTGTATATATTCATATCTTGTCTTGGCTCATTATGTTTTAAACGAGTTTACCTCACTTTCTCTACTTTCCTCCCAACTCACCTAATCTGCATGAGAGGATATTACTTTCATTAATGCTGGTATTGTTTTTATAAGAAGTAGCTGTTCAGTTTAACGTTTTCTGCACTTCACTTGTATAATCAATTGTATCCCTGATATCTGCGCCTTGTTCACTCGAGCTAAAAACGATTAGTTCCACTAGTTGTTTGAAGATTGTTAATGACGAATTCATAGTTGTTAGGAGCTCGCTTTTTGTTTGTGTGATAGCAATATTGTTCTGACCCTCGTCTCTTATAAAAGACTATAAATTATTTCAAACTTTATTCACAATTCAAAATGAACAGTAGACTGTGTACGTCTCCTATCGAATCGGTTTCATTGTTGTTGATGATGTGTTCCCAGGTTGGGAATGTATGGTACATACTGGTTCTGCTCCAGTTCAGTTAATCTAGAAATAGAATATGTATTCTTTTCAAAATATATAGAACATACTGCTGAGGCAATGATGACGAAGCAGTCGCTTGGTTATTATTATGAAGAGTGTACAATGATGGATCTGCTAAGGAGTTATTGGGGGTTAAAGGTCTATGGGACTGTACATTCCTTGTTTGAGTAACTGGGTTTGTTTCATGATTACTAAAGCTGTTCAATGGTAAGGCATTCATAGCCTGTACTACATCTTGGTAAAACGGATTACTAGGTAGAAGTGGAACATTTGCACTCCATCCTACATCCTGTGCAACCAAGGTTTGTTCTGGTGCAGATTGTTCAGAAGGTGGTTGGTTGGTGTGTTCGAAAATGAATGATGGTGGTGTTGGAAGAGGATCATCGAGAGAATCAACAGTTGTAGAACGACTTCTAGTTACATTCTCAGTAAGGCCTGGCAGTGGTATTCCATGTTCTAGCAGAGTAGATTCTACAAAGCAACAGGTGAAATGAAAAAAATTAAGAACTTACGTGTACTGGTAGAAGGCATAGCTGTTGAAAATGGATTCATGTCTCGGTTAGCAACCGGTTGGAAGAGAGGCTGTCCATTCGAGTCGAGATCAATTAAGGTGGCTTCACTAGGAGTAGATGGAGGAGTTTTCGTTTCGTTTCTGAAATTTCATTGTTGAAACCAAGACTAAAACATTCTGCACGCGTGTCTGTATGATATGCTAATTGCTCGGGTGGCAGTCTTTTTCAGTTTATTTTCCAAGCAGAAAAGAGAATGAGCGGTTGTATTTTGATTCTCATGTCTACTTGTGTGTCAAAAAATGCCGTCTTGCATCATTTCAATGTTTCAAATCAAATCAAACTGACTTGCTTATTCTCATGGCAAGTTCCTCATCTTGACGCAACTGCAGATTCAAATGATTGCGTGCTCGTTCCTCATCTTCGGCATATTTAGCATAAATTTGACGCGCCAAGGCTTCATCAGAATCGGTTCTAAAACGAATGCAATTAAAGTTAATAGATTTTTGCACTTGTATATTGTTGAGAAAGCAAACAAACATTGTCTGATTCGCCAGGCGTCGTTGTTGAATGGCCAATTCATCTTCGAGTCTCTTTAAATTTGTTTGATTTAAAGATGATATGAGTAAGGAATTCGTACCTGTTGAGCTTTACTGATTTTCACATCACCTCCAACAGTACTTCTTTCAGTTCTATTCATAGCATAGTGTCTGAGAGAGAGAGCAAGCTAACTAAAGAAAGAAAAAAGCTTTATGCCAACCTATTGAACTCTTCGTCTTGCAGACGTTGAGCTAAGTTATGATCTAGATATTCCCGCAGGCGATTGCGAACTACAACAAAAAGAAAATTAGATTAGAAGAATGGATAGAATGTGAATACCTTCCGATGGAGTGATATTCTCTTCAATAGACATTCTGAAATGCTTTATGAATTATAAATGAAAATGGCGACAACTTCATTAAGTAAAGAACTCGTTAGCTAGTTAATAACATTATTATTTCGAAAAAAAAGAAAGAAAAAGGAGAAATGAGTGTGAGAGAGAGAGAGCTGAGATCAATATAAGGAAATGATGGAAACGGCATGATGACAGAATTTTCAGAATCTTTCAACAATTTGAATAAAATAGCTGAGTATGCGTAACGTCGACCTTCTCAACGTGTTCAGAATTGATTGAAATCTGTTCAGCAAATATATATTCCAAGATAGATTCACACCGAAATGAAGAAGATATATTTATCCAGAATATATTTAACAAAATGAAAGATAAGGAAAGCTGAGACGGAATATGAAAGAAGCACTGGCAAAGCAATATGAAGTCATTGATGACTCATGATGATCATCATGTGTTGATAAAGAAAAAAGAACTGAAGGAGGCAGAGAGCGAGAGAGCAGAAGAGGAGGAGTGGACTAGCGAGCGGGATGAAGAATTGTATTATTAAATTATATTGAAAATAATAAAGTTACACGTAATATAAGATGAATATATGTGACAAGCTATAATAATATGAAGTTATTTAAAGATATAAAGAATCTTTTGTGTCTGGCAACTAATTGTATACCTTATATGTTTACTTAACTATACTGTTTATTACTTGTTTATGTGATTTCATATCACATAAATAGAGGAAAATCGTATGAGACAAGATTTTCAAAGAACATGCTATCCGTTATTCTTCTTCTGCTCCTTTTTTCACAACTTTCACATGGATTTTCGGTGAATTTGAACATTAGCTTCGATTCATAAGCATAGCATTTCAGAGTCAAGGACTAGAAGCTGCTCGTTATAATCGACATTTACTAAGAAAGTTAGCCCGCAAAGTTGACAAGGAATACTTCCTAACAGAAGCTGTAAGGCTATAAACAACGTATCAATAATCCTATTATTTACTTTTACAGAAAAATGAGCCAATCAAAACATTAGAACGACATGATCGCAACTTGGGAAGGCTTAACAGAGACATAGCGTTAGTGTTGTTGCTCTGCTTCACAACACTCAGCATATAATCATTCAGGCAATATCTATTCGATGGAGATATGCTTGTGAGTGCAGAATTTTTACAACAACTCGTAAATGATGATGGAAGGAAAAAACGACAAGCTTATAAGGACCGATACTATCCAAGTACAATTTGGACAAAGGGAATACCATACACATTCGATCCTGAGCTGCGTAAGTGTCTCTTCTTTCCACTCACATGAGAATAGGAAAAATGATTGTTATTCAAATGTCGATGATACTATTTGCAGCCCAAGCTGCTATCGAAAGTCTCGAAAAAGCCATGGCCTTTTGGCAAGCAGAAACATGTGTGACATTCTTCCCCAGACAAAACGAAAGCCAATATCTCTACTATACAGGTAAATGCTTAACAGCATTTGAGAGGACTGATTCTGCGTTCTCATCATATTTTGACTGATATCTCGAGTTATTGAGATTCTCAGATGTAGCTTATCGTTCATCCATAGCATAATCAAAACAACTATATGAAGTACAGTTGTTGTTCACCTTTAAACTTTCAGTTTTATAATCAAACTGATTGTAAGGATTGATAAGCGTTACATTAAGTTTGGTACAAAATGATTATGTTACAGGACAAGAGTCAGGATGTTTTTCAACTGTCGGTCGAGATACGACACAACCAAAACAGATAGTTAACATTGGAAGAGGATGTTATCATGTAATATTTAGAGAATTTACATAAAAAAAAGTTTTTTTGAAGTTTGGTGTAACTTCTCATGAAGTGGCTCATTCGATTGGGTTGTTCCACCATCAACAACGGACAGATAGGGATAATCATATTCGATTCATAAAAGATAATGTTCCTGTTACTTACTTACAAAACTTTGCTAAGGTTAACTCATTCTTATATATTTGTAAAACAGATTTCCTTATTTAGATATCAGCAACATTCATATCCACCTATGATACTCCTTATGATGTTGGAAGTGTAATGCACTATACACCAACTGAGTAAGTATCAACACACTCACATATCAAAATAGGATATTGAAGATTCGCGATTGATCATTTCCAACCCGCTCTTGAAGCTATCGATGCTAACTTACAAGGTACAATGGGATCTATGGATAAACCATCTTTCCTTGATGTTCAGTTAGTCAATAGACATTATCAATGTGCAGGTAACTGAGCAATCGATACAAAACCTCACAAGTAGACATTCAGATAAATGCGGAAATGCCACCAACCTTCCGAGTTGTATCAATGGAGGATATGTTGACCCACTAAACTGCACTTTATGCAAGTAAATTGATATTTTCCAAACTTTCCATAGTTCTCATAATATGTATACGTGAAAATAACATCTGATATTGTGATCACTAGATGTCCAACTGGCTTTGGAGGTCCACGATGTAATTTGATTGAATCGTCGGATCCAATGCCATGTGGAGGACTTTTACCCGCAAGTTCAAGTTTACAAAGATTGAAAATCACTTTGAGAGCTGGAGCACAAAGACGACAATGTGTATATCAAATAAGGGTTTGTTGAAAAGATGATGATTATCAAAAGAAAACAATACCCTTGTGACAGGCTCCGAAAAATCGTCGAGTAATGATAGGAATTGAGAGAGTTCAAGGAAAATGTCAAGAAGGCTGTTATACAACAGGAATGGAAACGAAAATGCTTGGAGATTTTAGACCTGTCGGATATAGGTAAGGTGAAATGAAAAAAGGCTTCTCATTGTTGGTGTGTGTTGAAGATTCTGTTGTCAAGCACACTCCTTCCGTAGATTAATATCTGTCTCGAGTGCCAGTCCAGTCATGTTCTTTGCTGTCAATGGAACTTTAGAAGCAACAATATATTATAGATGGAGTTATACATTAGTATGAATAGCAAAATTCAAATATATCATTATTATAGTTGTGAAAACACCTGATGCGGAAGATTCAGTTGATTTAACAAAAGAAGAACTCAATGAGATCTACGACCAGAAAAATGATGATTTCGGTATTGATATGCAGGTCTCAAGACGAAATATTGATAACTCATTATCAAATGATAAGGTATTTTCATTTTTATAATCTAGTCAAGCACATATATCATATTTAATTAACAGAAAAAAATAGCTAACGATGAACTGAGTGATATTATGGGAACAATCGGTAGTGATGGAGATAGCAATATAGATTTTAGTATTTATACATAAATTTAAATAATAAATATTATTGTGAATCCTAGAGAGTTACCCGTCAAATGAAACGAACAAAACACATATCATGTTGATGTGAACAGCTTCTGAGGTCAGATAGCTTCATGAGAATGATAGTTTTCTCAAGCATGCTTTCATGATTATTGCCTCAATCACTATTCTAATCACCAAAAATATTTTTGTTCGAATACTGATATTGGCGATAACAATTTTTTATTGTTTCAAATACTTGTAGACACGAGATATACTCAAGAACGTTCGCAGGAGTAGCCTGTAAGTGTTTGTTTGATCTCATTTGGTCATGTCAATCGCTTTACCTGATGTGTTTTACAAAATGGCATACATCTACCTCCCAGGAATGTATGAAGACCACCAGCTTGACAGCAAGTGGTATGGTCCGCCTGAACATTGTATAGACATGAAACGTCATATTTTTATTTCACCTTTGATGAGGCACAATCATATGCTTTACCCAACTGCGGTCCCGGACATTGATTTGTCAGGAATGCTGATACCAACTATACAAGATAACATTCTTTACTTCAAGTGATTTCTCTGAACAAACCGTTTTGTCATTGAAGCTATCGAAATTGCAAAGTGATTGACAGGTTGAGGACACTTGTTGTTTCCTACAACATAAGTCAAGCTTCTGATTGGGATTAAACCCTGATGTAGGCAACATTCCCATCGAAGTCATGGATGGCCCACCAACAAGAGCTCCAACAGGGGTGATAGGCTGTTGAGGTACGTTGTTTATAGAAGGGTGTGTTACGTTGGAATATGGAGGTCTTAACATAGGCTGAAATAGGTAATTCATTGATTAAAATCAAAGAAAATGGTTATTGATCCTCAGATAGTGTCACACAGGGTTATATCTTGAGTTTACCTGCGGAGGTGGTCGGGATGGAGAAGGTTGAGGTGGTTTATACATAGAGTTGACGGCATTTGGATGGACTCTCATGTATTCTCTCAAGCTGTCAGTTGGAGGGAATGGCTTCATGTTAACTTCCTTTCTACCATATGTTTCAGTAACTCTAAAGACTTGAAAATAAGTTGCAATGTAATAAAAGATATACCGTGGCTTCTTTTCTGTGACAAACGTTTTGGCTGAAGGCTTGTAGTTGTTATACGGTTGTTTGTAATCTACTGCATCTATGGTCGGTTTAGAATCAATCGAATATTCCTTTTTCTGAATCTCAAGGTATATCTCTTGATGAAGAATTGATACTAACCATGGGTTCAACTACAGGGGCTAATCCAAACTCCTCATTTCCTAAATGACAAGATAAGATAAAATAGAAGAGAACTTGCTACCAGGCTGTGGACTGAAAGGTAGTTCACGTGTCTTCGAGAAGCCTACTCTCAATGGACTCTTATGGATCATTTGAGGATCTATTTCCCTATTCTATGATTCGAAACAAAATAATTATCCGAAAGAAAGGAAAGTTATCACCACGTATGCCAGGGGTAACTGAGGTTGGATTGCTCCTGGAGGTGTCCATGGTGGGTTGCTGGTGCCTATGGGAATGAATGGGAATGCTGTCATGTTAAGAGGATTATCTGTTAGAGGTATATAAGAGTTTGAAAGGTGAGATAACAGACTTATTGAGTTTTGTGGCAGATTTAGTAAATTAGCGAAAGGATTCTGAGGGGGGAATCCAGGTTGCGGTGTGACTTCGAAGAGATGTGAGAAGATGTTGGGTTGGTTACGAAGAGGGTCTCTTGAGAAGTAGGATAATTGTAAGAAGAACCTTGAAAAAAGGAAGAGAAAACCTGGGTGGGATTTGCCATGGCTGCGCTGGAAAACGTACAAGCGAGGTCGGAGTTTGATCAATATTCGTTGGAGGTCTGAAATGGTATTGTTTTGAACTTCGAAGACGAGTACTAAGTACCTGAACTGAATATTTCCATTGTTTCCCATATTAACAACAGATCTCTAAAACAATATCATATTCAGAAAAAACCAAATGAGCTTACCGTGTATTTAAATGGTGGCAGAGGTGTTGTTTGTACTGGAGATAAGGTAACAAGCTTCAAGTTTGTTGTTTGACGTGGTTTCGGTGTTGATAATGGGGGCAACGGTTCAAAACCTTCACCTTTACCACCATTGACAATGACGTCAGTGGTAGCATCAGGTACTTCGAATCGAACAGCTATGGTAGTCCGCACCGGAGGTGAAGTTACAAAAATAGGATCCAAATGTTCATTTGGTTGTTGATTAGGATACCGTTCAAGCTGTTCATAAACTGAAATAGAGAGGGTGAGAGACTATCGTAGAAAGTAAAAGTTGTATTGAACCGTTTTCAGCGGACGGTAATAGTCGTTCCTTAGTTATAACCCGATGATCTCTCAAAGGAGCAAATATGATATCTGAAGAAGATGGAGACGTTCGACGATGATTCCATCGCATGGCAGCATCTGCATTTGCAATTATTTCTTCAATTCAGCAATAAGTAATCAGAGAAAGGTTTAAATGTTTAACCTCGTCGTTTCAACAGACTTCCACTCTCATCTTGAATACCTTTTGAGATAGTGTGATCGCCGACTACACGAACAAGTGGAGTATCTTGCTGAAAACAGAAGACAAGCAAAATGAATCTTTTAAAGTTCAAGAAAACTCACTGAAATAGAAAATTCAACACAGTTCCATGAGAAGACTAGTAATTGTAATAGAATGATCATCTAGTTCTGAGAAATAGAAAGTAAAGTTGGTTATAATCCGGGTAAAAGAGCGAAATCAGATGAAAAAACGAGGATTTGAAAACTAAATGAAAGTTTGCAAGAAAGTATTCAGAAGGTCAGCTGAACGAATAGGTAACGAATCTAGCGTAGTTATAACCAAACGAGAAGAAAATCTACCGGACTGGTCTCTTTACGTTTTTGGTCATCGTCGTCGTCAACCAAATTGACGACGTTAATTTCCGGTCTGCGGTCATAGAAATACAGACAAATTGGTTGGTCAAAGCATCAGCTATGGCTCTTCAGATGTGGCTTGAAAATGTTCAAAAACTACTTTTTTTCCAACTGCCTCATATTCTCTTTCAGTTTCATCGTTGATGCTGCTATAGAGAGAATATGAGAAATGCAGGTTGGAAGGTAAAAAATGGAAAAAGGAGAATATTGTGAAAAGCTTTGGTATGCTTAAGAAACAGTCACGTCCATTGTCATCTGAAGATATTAGGATATCTGTGTGTGAAAAGACAGGCTTAATGTATTTGTCTGTCGATGAATGGATTGCCGCAGGGCACATTTTGAAGATTTCCTATTCTGTTAAGCAACTTCTTCTTCATCTTTCCCTTCTTGGTGGACTACGTTTGTGAACGTTTCTTTTCTCTTCGTCATCGTTTTCTCCTAGCCTTCTCTTTCATGTATCTATCTCTCTAGTTCTTCAAATTTTCTTTCACAGTCCTCTCAAATTTCAATAGTCTAATCCAAGACTCGTCTCTCCGTTCCTATCTTTCGCCTGTCGTCGTATAAGAACGTAGTCGGAGAAAGGTTGGTGAAGACAACAGGTTGTTCATAAAAACGAACCAAAGTAATAATTCATCCAAAAATACTACGTTCTGATAACTCTCTTCGGAGTATTGGATCCTCTGAGCTCTCACAGAATCTATAGCAATTCAAATTTTTTTTCATTCTGTTGATCTCTTCTCGTTTGTGATCAAAAAACTGAAATCAATAGCCAATTTTCTGATGAACGACAAGCCCTAAACAACCCGCTGATGAGAAGCTGAAAAAGACAAGATCTCGCTCAAGTTTGGATTGGATTGATGAAAGAGACACTTTTTTTTCTTTTAAAGAGAGACAAGCAGTGAATGGAAAAGTTAGCGATGCAATACAATCCTAATTATAATCTGAAAACAACAGTTGGGTATCTTCGATGTGAACGAAAGTGACTTTTCGAGTTGGGGAGCAAGCAACTCCTTCTAAGGTTTATCTTCCTCTTCTACCACACGCTTGTTACTTTGAATCCAATTCAAAAATAGATGAACGTTGTCATTAGTGAACTTCCGTCTAACGTTCCCACTGCACATCCTATTCTGTAGCTAAAAGTATGAACATGGGAAAGTTCATATTTGTGTGGAAGTGGGATAGGCGGCAGAACCGTTTGAAGTATACATATTCGTCCCTCTGAGCTATACAATAATGAACATGGTGTTAACAAATGTATTAATAAGCATGTCCAATTTTGAAAATATCTGAACAACTTTTCGTATATAAGCTGGTGCAGACAGGAGGCAGCATCGTTTTCCAGCTTGGTATTCTAAGCTGCTCTCCTCCCTGCAATTCCTCTCTCTCGTCTTTAACCCAACACAAATATTCATATCATCTCAATCAATCATGCTTTTCCCACCTTTTTAGCCTAAACTCCAAAACTTGATAAAATAATAGTTGTTAATGCTGTGAGCAATCTCACTGGCACAACGTTGATAACACATCAACTATAAAACGTCTGCTCTCATTCATTCTCATTTCATATTTCTCACTCGCAATTCATTTCTTTATCATTTCAATTTATTTGAAATATCATATGATAATGTAATCTTTCAGAATTATGGCATCGCTTCTTCGACGTGTCGTTGACCACTTGAACAAGCTTTCTAAGAAAAAGAAAATTCATCCGAGCAAGCCTTTAAAACCTTCAAAGATGGAGGAGAATTTCATTCCGATTGATATGGAAGATTATGAGGACGAAAATCTGTATGAAGTTGTCTCGATTGAAAATGGAAAATTGGATTTGTTCAACTGTTCCTTGGTGTATGTTTCTCATTCTAATCAAACAATTAAAGGCTTCTCTTGTTTTTCAGAGACAATCTCGAGAATGACAGTATAAACAACGTCATATGTTCTGAAACCAAAAGCATTGAGGTAAGATCGCTTCAAATTCCAATTCTCTTTATATGTCCTTATATTCAGCAGCAGAAAGAACTCTGTGCCAATTTGAGACTTCGATATCTTTTTGCGGAAGCACGATTTATGCAAAAGGAAGAAGAATTGCGCAGCTTAGAGCAAACACGATTCGAAGCCGCATTGGAAGGAAGGTAAGATTCAAAGCCCATGACATCCGTATCTTAATAGCCCTCTTCTAGATTTACTGCTGACGAATCCCTCATGATGCATAATACTAATCAACAGCTGGAGCAACAAGTAAAGGCAAGTCCTTCTACTGTACATGTTCCTCATTCTAACCTTCACCTCATTTCAGGATCTTAATTGTAAACGAAGACAACTGCGTAACAAGTTCCTGTTCGAACATGAGAAGTACATTCATTCATGCCAAACTTTGGATACGCTTAAGCAAGCTGTAACTCAACATTGAACTGCTGTTCATATACGGATTTTGATCTCGGTTTTGCATTATAGTTGTATTTAACATAGATTTTAAGTATTTTTTTCATTTTCTCTTCTTTGTGCATGTACAATAATAAAAGTTTGAAAGTATCTGTGTGAGGGTTCATCAGCTCTTGGATAAACCTAACTGGTTAGCTTCATGTTTTATCCTTTCAATCTGAAAGCGAAAATCGAATTATTTTCAGAAAACATGTTGCCTCTCTACCTCTTTGGCTGATAAATACTTTTCCAATCCTTTCAAATCCATCACTTCCTCCAGATTCTCATCGAACAAACTTTTTAATCTTAAATTGGGCTTAGATTGACACTTTTCAACGAACTACCTCTGAGCTTGGATAAGATCATTACGATCTAAGGCATCTGTACGATCAACTAGCAATTCCTTCAATGGCTTTTCACGGTTTTTCAATTTTTGTATAATAACATCGATATCGTTAGCCAAATCATATCTTAATCGGATTGACATTATAGAAAGTAAAAGGTATGAGGAAGCACTTCTCTTGCCAGATGGATTCCTCCTTCTTGGATTCAAGTAAACGAATTAAGTTATTGAAATCAGATAATCGTTTGCCAAAATAAAACTTTTTTTCTTTTCTCTCTTCTGTTAATCCCATTTGGAATGATTCGATTTCTTTTAAAATATCTCTGAAAGAATAAGATTCATTTGAGGAGATGAGAAGGAGAGGGGAGCGAGGGGGGGAGGGTGGGAGGACAGGGGAGGGAGGACGAGAACAACAATGACGATGATGACTATTACCTAGAGTCTTCTTCAGTCCCTTGATTGTGTGTCTGAATGGAAATTGTAAATTGGTTTCAATTTCAATGACTTACAAGCATCTGTTTCTCTTCCATGCTTTCTTCCACTGCAATGATAAGAATTGGATGTTTCAATCAAACTCATTCTCTTCAACTTACAAACTTTTGATTTGTTTTTCAATCGTTTAACCATATCCAATGAAAATAAGATTTCTTCATCATCACTGTCATATTCCATGTTCATTAATGTTCGTGGACGACTGGCCATCGGACTAGATAGGCTCTTGAAATAGCAAAAAGTTTAAAAGAAAACCGAAAGAGCTATATCTGGTTGAGAATGCAGATCATAGCTGTTGTCATGGCAACAATGAAAGATTCAGAGAGACTTGTTCATTACAAGCATATGAGAAGAGAAGAAACATGCATGTCGAAAGGTAACGAAGGGCACCTCATAGTGTGAGACGAGAGAACAAACAAGGCGTTCAATTGTGAAAAGGGGCCAAATGAACAACAGCAACGACTGTTTCTGGTGAGAAAAAAATATTTTTTTCATGTTACAAACACTTTTAATGCTTTCATGAAATGTGTTTTCTATCTTTGCAATGATCAAATGAATTTTATCTTTTTGAAAAAAAATTAGAAAAACGGGTTTGTGGGACATCTCTCACTCTTCCCTCCTACTTGTTTCATTTGTAACAACCTGACATGTGTATATCATGTAAATATGAATCTATAATAGATATACGTTAACTCATATATCACACGCTGTATAATCGATTTGAAAATGAATGACAGAGAGAAGAGAGGCAGAAACTCCGAAAAAATTTGCTTCGGAAGTATTCAGTGAAAGCTTAGAAAGAGAGAGAGAGGGAGATAGAGAGAGAGAGAGGGGGGAAAGTATGTCAGTTTCAGGAAATCTATAATTGGCATTCAGTTTGAAAGTGAATGCGAAAATTCGTCAAACTGTTCAATCAGCTTTATATTTCCTTGAATAATTTGTAATGAAGTACTCGATAAGATAAGAAAGTTGCCTCGGGCATCAAAAAATGTTTTGAGAGAGATTGTTGAGTGCGATGAAGTGAAAGAGAGAGTTTCGAGACGAAAAATGATATTTTGCAAACAAAACGAACCATGTATTGCTTGAGAGAGCTTGGCAGAGTTAACATTCTTTCTTCGGATTCTCTCAGACTGTTCCTTGTTGACGATGAAGCGAATCCTCGAATTATGACAGCTAATATACCAATTTGTTGTTCGGGATTATCAATAGAAGTCACAAAGCCGTGAACGGTAAGTCTGGAAGATATAGCAATGCACAAGTTGGTTGAAAGGCAACGAGGAATTTCTACTGCCACGTATTGGTAAAAGCTATGTTGACATTGTCATTTCTCAATATAACTTCTCTCGTTTCCCGTCTCTTCTCTCCCTCTCTCTCTATCTCTCTGACAGAATCTCTCACCCTCTCTCCACCTTATACTTTACTTTCTCCATCTCTACTTCTTACCTATCTTTATTTCTGAAAAAAAAAACTTTGAAAGAGGAAAACAAACAGTTGCATAGTCTCAGCTTTTTTTTGTTCTGACCCTCACACACTCATACGCTCTCTCAAGCCATTCTCTGGAAAAAAAATGTATGTTTTTAGATTGGCCAGATGAGTTGTTAACAGAACGGTTGAACTCTTATTTGGTTTACACATGTGACAACAGTAACCACAACATTGAACTTTGTGATTTTGTGTAGCTTTTCATGTCATCCAGTTGATTTAGTTTGACTGAAGCTGAAATAATAAAAGAAAAAAAAACGATTAACCTTATATAGAGTGTTTTATGAGGAGAGAATGTAACTCTCTGTGTTTGTTCTATTTGACCATTTTTCATAAAAGACAATTGAGTGATCATCTTATAAGATGCGTTGTATGACTTTCCAATCGAGTTTGCAAAGCGATCGTCTGGGATTCCGAATGATATGGTCACCGAACTCGCTTTAAACATATAAACATGCTTTGAACATTCAAATATCATCTTTACGTAAATATTTTGGATGAGCCGTTATTTCGATCTGTTCAACTTGAGTTTCTTCTTCGAGCTTCATAATGATCGATTGTGGGAAGGAATGACCGCTTAAGTGAAAGATAGGATAACAGTGAGCAATGATCAAATGATAACCTCTTAGTGAACCAGCATATCTCATTTCCATCAATCGTCGATTCTTTTTTAGATTTGAAAAAGTTGATTAAAGCTTTATCTTTAGAGGAACAAGAGATTATATCATAATATAAGTAGTTGGCAGACATTCCCATAGAACGATGATTCTGCTTTCAAAAATTATTCGAAACTTTCATCTTTCAAGCTTGGAGCTTTCAAAAGAATATTTAAATACTTATTTACATAAAAATGAACGTTTTTCTTCATTTTTGAATCATTTTCTCCGTGAACAATAGAGCTCGCAGCATCTGCTTCATTATGAGATTCACGGAGTTGCCCACTTCATCTGTGACTGCTTCTACCTGAACCATTCGTCTCTGAGCTTATTCATAAATAGGAAATCTTACGAGAAAGGTTGAAAACTCTTCAAACATTAACTCCGTTCGTTTCTTCTTTTCATTTCTGCCGATGTTACTCAAGCTCATGGCACTCAGATGAGCCATTGTGTAGTGAGCCTTGAATTTCATTCGTTTGCTATTGAGTGCTTTCTCTCACCTTCTCAGTTATTTCCTGTAAGCGCTCATCTTGCGATAACTTCAACAGAATCGCTTCAGCTTTATAATTCTGATAAGACTGTTGAACTACAGGTCGTAATGTTCCTACAAGCACATCCAATTCCGACACCTGCAACCACGTAATATGCAAATCAGTAAAGTGACGTGACGAGCGTGCAGCGTTAGAGATTTCATTTTTTATTTTCGGACGCATGAATCGGTTGTTTTCGACAGCGCATAACATATGAAAGTATCAAAATAAAGATTTTGTTTGTTTTTTTACTTTTATATATTACAAAATAAAAACATACTTTACGCAGTTGTCCTATTGCAGGTGTTCTATAGATGGCCATGAACTGCTCAATCACATCATGAGTTGCATTGATGAGAAAGCACGGTTTAGGCGGTGGATCAATAGATACTTCTGTCAAATCATATTCTTTCAATGTTGCTCCTTCAGAAGTCTTGAATAGGAAGAGGAAAACGAATGCTATCATCTGAAATGAAATTTCAATTATATAGAAACACCTATGTCTTCAGGGAACTTCTATGAAACAAAAAGGAAAAAAAAACGAAAAATAGTAGTCATTTATGAAATTTCTGAATAGTTTTTGCTTCCGGGAGATGTGACAGAGGTCATCGATAAAGTAAACGAAACGTCGAATGTGTTGACAAGTCGATCTTAGGTTGGCTAAGAGAAATCCAAATGAAAATATGCGTTTCTCTCTTCCCCCCCCTCGCTCTCCCTTGGTTAGCCCTTCGATACCTTTTGTATCTCAATGTCTGTTTCCGTTTGAATTGAATGCAATGTGTTTATAGACATACAACTTGAACAATTAAGATAATAATAAGAATTTATTGGTTACTACCACTACTGAATTGATAAATAAATCTGAAAACAAAGATGAGATTGTATGAGAGAGAGAGAGAATACGTTGTTTGACTCACTTCTTCCATTGCGATATTGAATAATCCGATTTCTTTTTTTATATTTCCATCTAATCCTTCAAAGTATTCTTTTGCTCGATTACCATTATCCTATAAGAAGCGTTCTCTTCTCTCTTCTCTCTATCTTTTTCACTCTTAATTACCTTCAAATCTTCTATATGCAATTTATGAAGATTGTTAAGTGCTTCACGAGTTGTTCCTCTCATTTTGGCCAGCTTAACACATTCACTTTTCCGGTTTTTATTTGCCTCTCATCTACTTACCTGTTCTTCAATGTATTTTTGAGCTTTTCCATAATGTTCATTTACTTTCTCACGAAATTGACCGAAAGCCTTCTGAATACAAAACAATGAAATAGCCAATTAGTAAAACTTGTTGTCTTCACCAACTTGAACTTCAGACGATTCTCCAGCCATAAGTTCTTCTACTAACGCATCTTTCTCAGATTTATTCAAATTCTCGTTTGTACCAATGGCTGTGTATTGCTTCAACACATAGTTATTATAATTTCATATAGAATATATCTTACCTGACGAGCTTTAATTGATGCGTTATCCATGAATGGAGGTAACTGGACAGCTGCAACGACTGCAAGAAGACTGAACACAAGGTAGACTCTTCTCATTCTCATCAATGCACTTCTTGTATGCTGTTCGTTCTTTTATAGTCAAAACATTTATTTGAACAGAAGATTTATAAATTCAGGATGAAACTAATAAAATATGTTAATTAACTGACCAAAATAAATAAATATTTATATTATATATTATATGTATAGAGAGGGAGTGAGAGATAAACAAAGACTAAGAGAGTCTGATACAGTAGTCAGACAGTTAGAGATCACTGAATTTCGAATCAAATTCCTTTCTTATGTTTGTTGGAATTTCATTATAAAGTTTTTCAATTTTCTGTAATCGTTCCGAATCGCTCATAGCTGTATTTGTCATCAAAGCTGATACCTTAAAAGGAAAAAATTTCTTTTCGAACAATGTCCACTTGAAGCTTTCTTGTCCACTACCTCTCTTTACGTCTTCATGTCCCTTTCCTTTCAAAAACTTTCACTCGACCTTGAAGTGCAACAAATTCTTTCCAATTATTTTTAAAAGTGACAGTTTCAGGTCAGAACTGACGAAATGGACAAAATGTTTCGTTTTTTTCTCTTTGTATGTCAAGCTTACTGACACTCGTTCTAGTTTGGTCAGATATGCAAGTTATACCTTCTGGAACTGAGCTTGGGCTTCCGTACTCATGGAATGCACAGCTTCATGTACTTGGCGTTTCTTTTCCGATGATGAGCCTTGAGATGATCTTTGGAATTCCGCGTACAAGTTCTTTAACGGAGAGAAACATGTATAAGCTAAACTGGTCCATATTCACCTGAGCATCTACTTCCAATCCTCTAACAAATTCATCTATTTTCTCTTGTTTCTGAGCGGCAGTCCAGGTGGGGTTTTGAACGATTTGGTAAAACTTCAACAGCAACAGTTAGAAAACAGAAAGTACGTCAACAGATCACCTTGTCTTGTTCGGCTTTTGAAGCTGTTTTCAAGAAAGGAGGAATGATCCTTGTCGCCCCGGAAACACTCTGGTTCTCCTACAACATTGGTTATTTCACTTACTAATTATAAGGAGGTAAACTTCTCTGGGAACGTTGTTCATGTTCGAGTCACCTTGGAACTGTCCGAATGCTCCACCTTGATTCATGAACCCATAGTTCTGTTGACCAAAGGCACTGGCATCTCCTCCTTGATTGAAAAAGGGGGATGAAGGAAACTGCTGGCCAGAGCCGAAGTTGGTCAAGCCCATGCTGCCCATGCTGCCCATGCTACCCATACTACCCATACTGCCCACACTGCTTATAGCTCCCATACTGTTCATTCCGTTGGAAGGTTGTTGAGGGAACGAGGATCCATATGGAGAGTTCAAAGACATTTGAGGAACATTTTGACCTCCTAATAGAGAGCAATATGTAAGAGTGAGTCCAAAGTGAGCCAAACAAACCGAAACTTGGATTATACATGACTGCTCCGTTTATCCGAGGTTGTTGTCCGAATGTTTGGGGGACCATATTGTACATCCCTGGAAGAAGACGGTTGTCTCAGATGTTGAGATAGCTCAAACCTTCATTTGGAAATCCCCGGCCACCAGGCATCATGGGACTACCATAGTTCATGGAACCGTATGGTGCAAATTGAGCCCAAGTAGTGGCCAATGAAGAGATGACGATAAGAACAGCGAACGGCATGTATCTGAATGAGAATGAGTGAATTCGGAAGATCTAAATAAGGAAATTCAGGCTCCGCCCAGGCTTAAAGAAGATTTGTTAAAGTGGCAGGGGAAGAGAAAGTTATAAAAAGAAAGCTGAAGCATATGAGCGATTAAAAAACAGAAAGAGAAATGTAATATTTGCTGTTCCAATAGAACATCAGCTTACAAAGAGAATAGAAAGATGGATGGAGGTATGTCAAAGAACTTTATAAACACAAAAAATAAAACTCTAAAACTGGTTAGTCTCCACCTTTTTCTCACAAATCTGGCTTAGTGAGTAGGGTTAAATCGGGAACATAGCAGCTTGTAGTGAGCCTCGTTCAAACAAAAAATTAATATATACTTGTTTTATAGTTATTTACAACATTCATTTCAAATATTTATTGAAACTTGTCAATCTTCTATGAAGAGAATGAACGCTGGATATGCGAGCAACGAACGATAATCCCACAAAAATGATTTTCTCTTTGTACTTATCTCATACGAACTCTCTTCTGACTGCTCAACAGGATCATGATGCCATGTGTCAATTGATGCCATACAACTCAAAATAAAGTCATTCAACATATCATAACTGTTTTGTTCGAATTCAGATTCTACATACTCCTCCATATATGGCAGATGAGATCATTCAGAAGACCTTTCTCATGTACCATGTTGTACTCAATGAATTTGTCTGAACAATCCAATTCGACGTTATAATGTATACAACTTGTCGTTTGAATTTCAAACCATTTTGCATTGAAGTAAACTTCTTATCGAGCTCTGAAATATGTAGTCTTATCTCTCATAAACTCAACCTCCCCCTCCCCCCTCAGTGATCATAATAAACCCATTGCATTTGATTACTCTCTTCCAGCCTTTCATCTATGGCATAACAGAGTCATCTTCGAAGGTTCATCATTGCATAATGATCTTACTAGTGAACGTAGTGGACTATCTCAGTTTCAACAATGAAAGAAGTCCCTCATCTTGATTATTGTGTAGCTCATTGGGTCGTTTGTATTGTCTACGAAGTAGAAAATCTGCATGTAAAGCCTTTCTCATCTCCGGAAGCATAACATGTGCAAACATATGAAAAGTGTTCTCTGGAACTATCTTGATAGATATGACGACGTAGTTCGTGTAACTCGGTGTCTATGCATTGGATGATTCAAACTGATTTGATGTTGCTATGGATGGAATATAAAAAGATTTTTTTATTATTACTATCAAAGTATTTACAAACAATATTTGAGTAGGAAGAACATTAATTCAAACGAAAGGTCATAGATAGTATAGAGAGAGAGAGAGGAGATAACAAGCAAATTCAAATGTTGGAAGAAGGATTGCATGATTGAGAAGAAACTGAATGTATACATACACATATGTTGCTGTTAGTTAATCTTATCATTAATATGTATTTGAATGAAATGCCTTAGCTGCTTTCTCTTTCTCCCTCTCTCTCTCTGAAATCATCTGAGACAAATGTGAAATGTTGATTTCTTTGCGTCTTATCGATTTCATGACTCACTTACCATATAAGTACTATTGATTTAAGGAATTTTATTTGTTGAGAACAAGCATTTCATATCTTCACCACCCTTTTTACCACAAATTAAGCTCTTATAGGATAGTTCGTCTTTGAATGCTAATCTGATCCACCTTTAGACATGAATGCATCTCATCCAAACAATCCATTCATTGACCAGCCGATGATCATTCAAGAGAAACGCTTTTGTTTCGGAAAGTTCGATTATAGAGTTAGTGTGATGATAATCTTATACATATATAGCATTTGTTCCTTATTAGACAGCTTCCTTGATTGTGGCATTCATGGAGATTGGCTATTGGTTCTATTATTCTATACTTTTGATGTTTGCTATTCTGGAGCATAAAGAAGCATGTACGATCTATATGTTTCATTGAAGATTACATATATAGTTATGAATGATCACGAATCAAGCTTGTTTAGGGAGTATTGTGATCATGAGTGTAAATCTCACTCTGTTGACACTACAGATTGCACTTGTCTTTGGTGGCATTCTGAAGAGAAGGCCAAAAATGTTGCAAAGTCATTTAGTTTACCTGGTATTACATAGTCTCAAGTACATTCGAAGAAAGTGCTCTACTTGTAGTGTCTTACATTGATTTGGGATTTACTGCTCACACTATCATTCTTCACCATGGCTGTCTTCCCAAATGCATTGAGCGGAACTTTTGTCAATTACAAAGGAAAACAATGGAACGGTAATCTTTACATTCTCTTCTCATTCAATTGTTTATTTGAATTTTAATTATTTCTCAACATATCTTCATATTCTCTCTTTTCAGCTCGTGTTTTTGGTATTGTTATGGGTTGTATATTGACATTATGGTTTGTTGCTCGATTCGTAACTACTGTTGTCATCTATCGTTATTGGAAAATGCTTCGAGCTGATGAAGATCCTGTACGTTATGGATCATACACAAAAGCTGTTAAGATGCAACCATTCTTTGATGTTACTCCACCTGGAACACCTGTATGAACTTTTACACAAAACTATTCCATTTATTGAGTACTACAGAAGTATAGTCTATAGATGATCAAGATGTTTTATAATACAAAGTATAAATAACATGAACGATGGTCACGATTACGATGAGGACAGACAGTTAGAACCCGTATGATTCTTGCTCAAGATGAGATCTATAACCTTCTTATGATAATGTAGAAGAGAAAGAGACTGAATGAGAAATCTGGTTAAGCAAATGAAGTGGAATATGAAGAGCAAACGATTTAGCCAAAAGACGTATGTAGAGGTAACTGACTGCAGGAACCAAGTGAGAAGGAAGTAAGAAGGATGCCGAGAGCATGAGAAAGGATAAAAATAGAAGCATTGAAGATAGGTTTGAAAGAAGTTCAGTCAAAGCTCATACTATGTGATTGAATACTTAATCGTGGCACACATTCTCTATCAAGAGACATTGATTGCCGAGTTGTTGTGAGAGAAGTCTGAGATGAAAGTGAGCCTCTATGACGACTGTCATTATCTGTACTCATAGAATTTCTATGATTGTTACTGAAATCATATATAAGAGAAAGACATGGTGTTGTTGGTCTTCGTGGTATCCAAGGACCGTCATCAGTTACTACAATTTCAGGAATTTCTGAGACAGTCGAACTGAAAGACAAGAATACATGTTAGATATCTAAGATGGACACAACAGAATATTGCAAACCTTGTGTATTTCCGAGGTTGAATGAGCTGAGGACTACTTCGCCATTGTTTCGGAGAATCAGATGCACTATGGGTTTTCGTCAACCATGCTGTTACCTGTAAGATATGAGCATGCATAATTCTCTCTCTTATCAGCTTAGAGCTTGAATCTCGAAGCTTAAGTGTTGTAAGAGAATTACCTTATTCTTAGCTTTCATAAGACGTCTTTTTTGACGTTCTTGAATATCCAATTCTTCACGAAAGCGCATAGCATCCAGAAGAGCTTCAACCTGCGAAGGATTCTATTTTAGTGGTATTATAGGTCAAAACATAATGTTTAAAGATAACTATGCTTTCTATAGGTATAGTTAACGCACTTCAATAGTTGCATTAGTCCTTCGAATGGATCGAACCATCAATAAAACAATAACAAATGAAAACATGAGCAGTATAGAGATAGTATAAGCTATTTTTCCAAATTCGTTATCTTGCATCGAATCAACAGACTTCTTGAAGGCATCAGATGAAGCTGACAAGCTATAATTGCTAAAATTATAAAAGTTAATAATGACAGAAGATGATATGAGAATGGAATTGAGAGGTAGAGGATATTACCCGTGGCAATGTTTCTGAAGAAGTTGTAGACATCCGCATGTATCTTCACGACTAAGCTTCATGTTCCTATAGTTATCTTAAAAAATGGAATATGAAACATATAGAATATTGCTCATTATGTTAATGATATCTTAATTAGAAAGTGAAATTGAATGATTAGAGAGGACGATTGGGATAGTTAGAGATATGAGAAGACATTGATGATGATGTATCAAAATAAAAAATATATTTTGTGTGAATCGGGATTAAAGAAAAAGAAGAAAAATGATTATCCGCCCAAAAACAAGGAAAGAAGATATAACATAACAGATATATAAAACATATGTAATCAATAACTATATACATCATTCTATGTACGTGTTACCTCCATTCATTCAGAGAGAGAAAGAGAGAGAGAGGGAGAGAGAGGGAGAGAGAAGGATAGAGAGAGAGAGAGAAAAAGGGTTTTCTTTATTCATTCACTTATCCTCAAAGAGATAGATTGAAAACTAATTTGGAAAAATAAATTGGTTGAAGTATGTGATTGTAGTTATAGATGAAAGTTCTTATGAAGAATTGACCACAAACTCACGATGAACAGATTCTTCTCATCAACTCTACATGAGCATATCTCTGTGTGAGGGAGAAACCCTCAAGTCATTGATTTTTGAATTAAGATTGTATAATACACAACTAACATCAATGTTGAATATAATTTCCTTGTTGAGGACAGGAATTATACTTGGCTGGTGCTACTATGTCAAGCTGGGATAATCTAGTTGTTGAATATGATTAACATACAAGCTGATAAGAGATAAAAAGGTTATACGTTGTTAGAAATTGATACATCAAAGACAATTGCATGAGAGATTAAAGTTCATAAAGCAATTAGACATCCACTTCTTCTTCTAATAATAATAATCTTTAACCGAACACAGAAGCATGTTATCGATAGAAGGTGTGCGAGCTGGCACACTTCTCTTCCATTACATTTGTTTTTCCTTCATCACAATCGATTTCATGTTTCATGTGTCTATACATATTTCTTCCCATTAGTACATATGCAGTACGATTTCAAGGATAAATGTTTCGTGAGCTGTTAGATACATGAACTAGTAGAACATATAGAGAAGGTTATGTGATGTGATCAGACCATTATCACACACAGTTTCCAAGACAACTTGCACGACTTCTCATTTTGTTAAAAGCATCTTACTTGTTGCTCTCTCTCTCATTCTCTTTTCCTATTTCAATCTTTCACTTGCTGACATTCAAGCTGATCGCAAACTTGGCTTGTTTACTGATTATATTTGTTTACAACAAATATCCCGAGTTTATATGGATCTTATTCTGATTCTGCAACTTGACTGAACAGGATTTGTCTTCCATCAGTTCTATGTATACTTGCATGATTCATAATTCCTTTCCCTGTTGTTTTCAAGCAGAGCTTGAGATGGATGTAGCTCTAATGCTTATCTCTTCATACTCATTTTCCAAGATTCTAAATTGTTCTAAGGTTGTGCTCCTTAGGGAATACACATGAGCATATTGCAGATTTTCTGATCTCATTTTCATTTTTTATAATTTGTGTCCATTTCATTAACCTCTTGGACTTACTGGAATGATTCGGCTGCCCTTTAATGACCTCAAGCATACAGTAGACAATCGTGCTCTATTGTGAACTTTTTGCAGATTGCAGTCCTCCTTTAATCCGCAGCTATTCACAAGTGGTTGAACTGTCTTGTGCAAATTTCTTTTTCTAATTCATGAGTCTCATCTGATGAGCAGTCTTCTTGTGTTGTTTTGTTCTATAGGCTTCATTGAGAACAACAATTCGCTGTTTTCATTGTTTTCCTTCCGATTCTTATCTTCTGTTCGAACTTTTATGATTTAATTCGAACGAGAAGAATGCTGCTCAGTTTCAAATGTTTTCTGAATGCTAGTTGTACTTGTTCGAAACACTTGAATTTTATATACTGCTTAGTAGTCATTTCATTCTCTTGTAAGTGCTCGAGTTTCATGGTAACAGAGGGGTCTGTACGACTATCAGATTGATAACTCTGGGATGTAATTAAGGTTTTGGGATGTTATTCTAAGGTTCACGCGCTCATGTAGTGTTCACTCGCCTCTTGAGATATGAACCATTCCTTGTATACTTCGTTAGTGTTTCATCTAGTTGATCTTCATTAACCCTGATTCTTCTTCGACAACACATGGAGAACTGTCATATTTACATTGATCATTATAGTGAAGTTAAAAAAGAAGATTTAAAAGAGAAGTGTGGTCAAGGAAGTATCAATTTTCTTCTTTTCTTTTGTGTTTCGAATGTCTTTGAACTCCTTTGAACATAGGACCTTTCTAACCCACCTGTTCTACCACACATCAATTTTCTATTTTCATTGGAAGGGTGAATCTGCTGCTCCTCGAT